TTTTTTTGACAGAGTGGATAGTGAGAGAGACAGAGAGGAAGGTCTTCCTTTGCCGTTGATTCACCCTCCAATGGCCGCCGCCTCGGCCAGCGCGCTGCGGCCGGTGCACCGTGCTGATCTGATGGCAGGAGCCAGGTACTTATCCTGGTCTCCCATGGGGTGCAGGGCCCAATTACTTGGGCCATCCTCCACTGCACTCCCGGGCCACAGCAGAGAGCTGGACAAACACGTTACTTGATCTTCCTCAATATAGTACTTCCAGTGGATTTTTCGAGGATATAGTATCTATATCCATATTGTCCAGCTCAAGTGTGGTAATGTCTAGGTAAGATATGGCTTTCACCATGAACTACTCCTTATTTAAAGAATTCTATGGCGTCTGGTGATGTGGCTTAGCGGGTAAACGCATCCCATATGAGTTCTGGCTGCTATACTTCCGATCTAGTTCACTGGTAATACACCTGGGAAAGCAGCAGAAGGTAGCTTAAGTGCTTGGGCCCCTGCACCCAGAGGGAGGACTCCGAAGAAGCTCCTGGCTCCTGCCTTTGGATCAGCCCAGTTCTGACCATTGTGGCCATTTGGGGATGGAAGATCTCACTGTTGTCCTTCTCTCTGTAATTCTGCCTTTCAAATAAATATTCTTTTAAAAAAGAATACTATGAGTCACATGGAAATCTTCACCTTGAGATCATATGTTGCCTGATATGGATTCTTTATTTCTCTCTCTGGAGGTAAGTGGTTCTGTTTTCCCTTGGGAATAGGAAGAGCCTGTTGGTTTGTTGGTGCTAAACATTGGCTATGATTTCTGCCTTGCTAAATCCTGAGTCCTTGATAATATATGCATTGTGCTTTTTATGATGGGGTGGGGCACCTTATTGACAGCAGACAGTAAATGGTGAGCAGAAATGACATGGGCTTTTCTCAGGCCAAATAATTTATACATAAATTAAGACTCTCCAGGAAAATCTTTCTATCTGATATATTACTCAGAAATATTATCTGTAATGGGTGCATCATTAGTCTTGGAGGCTAAGAGAATGTGGATTCCATCGAGGATGGAATCAAATGAACATTTGATTGTATGGCTTTTTTTTTTTTTTAGCTTCAGCATCTAGATCGTGTTTTGTCAATTTCAACATTCTTCATGTTTGTGGTAGATCACTCATTGACTTTTTTAAATTTATTTTTTGTATTTCTAATTAGTTTTTAACAGATTCAGTGTGATTTGTAGATACATTTGTAGGAACATAATGATATTCCCTTCCTCCCTCCCTCTCTTCCCCCCACTCTCTTTCCTTCTCCCTTTCTTTTTAAAAAATATTTATTTATTTATTTGAAAGAGTTACACATAAAGAAAGAGGGAGAGGAGAGAGGAAGAGAGAGAGTCTTCCATCTGCTAGTTTACTCCCCAAATGGTCACAATGGCCAGGACTGTGCCAGATGGAATCTAGGAGCCAGGAACTCCATCCAGATCTCTTACGTGGGTGCAGGGGCCCGAGGACTTAAGTCATCTTCCACTGCTTTCCCAGGCACATTAGCAGGGAGCTCAATCAAAGTGGAGCAGCTGGGACAAGAACCAGTGCCCTTATGGGATGCCAGCATCACAGGTGGCAGCTTTACCACTGTGCACAACAATAGCCCCTGAATGTCTGTTCTCAAAATTAGACATAGAGATGGACAGATCTATCCTCTGGTTCACTCCCCAATGGCTACAACAACTGGGACTGGGGCAGGCTGAAGCCAGGAGCAGGGAAATCAATCCAGGTTTCCCACATGGATGGCAGGGACCCAAGTACTTGTCTCCGAGGGTATTCATTAGCATGAAGCTGGAATCAGGAGCCAAGCTGGGACTGAAACCCAGATACTGTGATGAGGGATGTGGGTGTCTCAAGTGGTATCTTAACCACTGCTCCAAATGCCTATCCCTAGTGTCAACTGGAAGAACATTTAAAATTAAAAATTTTTTAAAGATTTTATTTATTTATTTGAAAGGCAAAGAGTTAGAGGCAGAAGCAGAGGCAGAGAGACAGATCGATCCTCCATCTGCTGGTTCATTCTGGCCACAACGGCCAGAGCTGAGCAAATCCAAAGCCAGGAGCCAGGAGCTTCCTCCTGATCTCCCACATGGGTGCAGGGGCCCAAGGACCTGGGTCATCCTCACTGCTTTCCCAGGCCATAGCAGAGAGTGGGACTCAAACTGCAGCCCATATGGGACGCCGGCACTGCAGGTGGCAGCTTTACCTGCTATGCCACAGTGCTGGCCCAAAACTAAATTTTAGCAGTGATATTTTAAGTAGTCTAGTAAGAAACAGTAGTTCTCATGTTCTGAAAGTCCCTTCATACTTATTCCTATAAATCTGAAAGACCACTCAAAAGTAACTAAAAGAGCAGCTTGTCGATGTCAAGTAATTTGATTAGTTTGTATATACTTGCAATTAGATTAACATAGGATGAGAAACCTTTCTTAGGTGTTACATTTAGTATATATGAGATATATATGAGGGAGCTTCAAAAAGTTCCTGGAAAATTCACTTTAACCCCATTTCCCCATAAGCTTTCTGAGGCTTCCTCAAAAATCATGTACATGAATTTAAGAAAACTTAATTCTCATTTTATTTTTAAAGGTGGGGGGACACCTTCAATCTGTTAGTTCACTATCCCAATGTCCGCAAGGTCTGGGGTCAAAGCCGGGAGCCCTGAGTTCAACCTGGGTCCCCTACAAGAATGGCAAGAATCCAAGTACTTAAGCCATCCTCTGCTACCACCCTGGATGTGCATTTGCTGGAAGCCGCATGGGAAGTGGAAGAGCCGGGGCTGCAAGCAAGCTCTCCCACATGGGATCCAGGCATTCCAAGCTGCCACTTTACCTCCGTGTCAAACACCTGCCTTAGTATTTGTTGACTTTTGAACACGTAAAACCAACTTGTTTACAACTTTACTTTTAAATGACAATTCATGTTGAATCAAAAGGAAAACTATATTTCCTGTACATGACATAATAGGATGGTGGCAAGTAAAATGAAAAAGCATTTTTAAAAAGTACTGTCCTTATTAGTATGGGAGTGGGTAAAGAATAAAAGAAGGAAACAGTAAATCCCTTAGAGGCAAAGTCTTTCTTACAAGAACAGATGAATCAATGCTTTAAAATGTTTTAGAATAACACTTGTCATCTGCTGAACACCCTGTGATTTTTTTTTTAATTTGACAGAGTTATAGACAGTGAGAGAGAGAGAGAGAGAGAGAAAGGTCTTCCTTCCGTTGGTTCACTCTCCAAATGGCCGCCATGGCCAGCTCTTCTCCAATCCAAAGGCAGGAGCCAGGTGCTTCCTCCTGGCTTCCCACGGGGGTGCAGGGGCCCTAGCACTTGGGCCATCCTCCATTGCCCTCCCCGGCCACAGCAGAGAGCTGGACAGGAAGAGGAGCAACCAGGACTAGAACCCCGTGCCCATATGGTATGCCGGCACCACAGGTGGAGGATTAACCAAGTGAGCCACGGCCCTAACACCGTATGATTTTTATTTGAAAAGAATTTTCCAGATAATAGTTCTGAATTAGCAGGTCACTAATAGAACTTGTATCCATTCTAATAACAGCATCTAAAAAAAATTGGAACTCATGTATGCCTTTGGAAACAAAGCATTGAGCTTCCTTGTGATTATATTACTTACTAGTTGTGACTCTACATCTGAGCGCGTTTATTCTGATGGTATCAGCCTTCACTATGTCAGTTTAAGGTGGATCAGTGTTTGACAATTGACCATATTGTGCTATAGATGGCATACTAGAAATGAGGGAAGGCAGTGCTGTGGGGCAGCAGGTAAAGCCTCCTTCTGCAGTGCCAGCATCCCATATGGACGCCAGTGAGAATTCTGGCTGCTCCACTTCCGATCCAGCTCTCTGCTATGGCCTGGGAAAGCAGCAGAAGATGGCCCAAGTCCTTGGGCCCCTGCATCCGCGGGGAGACTGGAAAGAAACTCCAGGCTCCTGGCTTCAGATTGGCCCAGCTCGGCTGTTGAAGCCATCTGGCGAGTGAATCAACGGATGGAAGACCTCTCCGTCTCTCTGTTTCTCTTTCTCTCTCCCCCCACCCCCCTGCGCCTCTCTCTAACTCTGCCTTCCAAGTAAATAAATAAATCTTAAAAAATTTGGGGGGGGGGGCAAGAACAGAAGTCAGTGAGAGAGGTGTGTTCAAGTCATTATGATATACACAATTACATTCAAGTAAGTATAAAACCAGAAACATTAAACTTCACGGGCGGGCATTGCTGCACAGCAGGTTAAGCTGCCGCTTCAGACTCCAGCATTCCATAACCAAGTGCTGGGTTCGGATCCCCACTACTCCACTTTCAATCCGAATTCCTGCATATGCGCACCGCGGGAGGCTGCAGATGCTGGCTCACAGGCTTGATCCCTGCCACCATGCTGGAGATCGGGATGGAGTTTCTGGCTCCTCCCGTAGGCCGAGCCCAACCCTGGCTGTGGCAAGCATTTGCAGAGCAAACCAGAGATGGGAAAATCGCTGTCTCCCTCTCTCTCTCCCTTTCAAATAAATAAAAATAAACATTAAAACAAAAACACAACCTCAGAGTGCCATTTGAACATGGGGAGCTTTCGGATAAGAAAAAATACACCACTTTATTACCATCTTTGCAACAGGCACAGGAAGACCAAAACCTGTCTTCTGTCAATTACGTCCAGTCCCCAAATCTGCAAGTTTGCTCAAAGAAGGGAGGTAAGCGGAGGCCACGCGGAGGGCAGCAGCACCCACTTCGCTTTCGCCTAACTTTGCTCACAAGGGGGCGCTGGCGTCCCCGGTTTCCCAGCCCGGCTTCGGTGGCGGGGTGAGAGGCCGTCACCCTAATCTCAGCGGCGATAGGACACAAGGGGAAGCAGAGCGTGGTTTCCCGGATCCGCGCCCCTGCCCTGCGGAGCGCTGCCCCTCGCCGCTCCGGCCTCGCCAGGGCTCGGGCCCGCCCCCGGCGCCGGCCGCCCAAGGTGTCCCGCCTGCTCCCTGGCGCCCCCTGGCCCGGCTCTGGCGCCCGAGGTTTCCGGTGAGCGGGAGTCGCCGGTTATGACGACTCCCTGCTCCCGAGCCGCCGCCGTCTCCTCCTGCTCCGCAGCCGCGGCTCCCCGGCTCCAGGTGGGCCTCCCCGCGCGCCGAGGGCCAGCACCTGCGCCCCTGCCCGCCGCCGCACACCGGGCCCGGCTGTGCGTGCTGCCGGCGTGGCTTCCCCGGGAACCGCAGCCTCTCCGCCGACTCCGCCCGCACCCTCCCATGCCCGGTGGGCCGGAGAGGCGGCCGTCGGGAAGCCGACCGTGGCCCTGCCGGGTGCTGGCGGCGAGGCGCCGGATTCGCGGGCACCCCGCTGGGGCCCCGGGGGAGGTGGCGGGGTGCCCCTGCCCTCACGCCGTGGACCCGGTTTCCCCGGCCCGGGGCGGAGCTGCTCCTCCAGGCCCCTCCCTGGCGCAGCGGGGACGTGGGGGGCGGCCCCCGGAGGTCTCTGCGACAGTGGAGGAGCCCCGGGCGGATCGCGGGGTCCCCAAGGTGGGCTCAGGGGCTGGGCTGAGCGCGCCGTGGACTCGCCCCACTGCGCGGGGGCTCACCTAGCCCTCCTGGGCCACTTCCACCTCTGCGGCTCCGCAGGCAGCCAGGCCCTTCTGAGCCCCGTCTGGCGTCCCGCGTGAGACTTTACCAACCGGTTTAGGGGTCCGAGCCTTGCGCGTTTCAAGTTTCATTTGTGCACTGCTTCCTTCAAACCTTCGCGCTCCGACGCGGTTCCGCTCCCCTCTCACCCGTGTGGTGCCCGACAACCCCGGGATTCAGACTTTGATTTTTTTCCTCCTCCCTGCTTTTTAGGCCTGTGGATCCCGTCAAGGCATGTAGGAGTGGAGCTGCTGGAAGACGTTGCACAGGCACTGACCTTCGCGCAGCCCGCATCCCTGCGCGCACGTGGGCTTCCTGCCAGGCCCCCGGGGCTGTACTTTCATGCACCAGTAGTTACCCGCGTCGCCCGGTGCAAGTGCCTGCGTGCCCTCCGCCAAAGCCAGGTTGTTGATCGGCGTCTGTAGAGTTTTCCCAGCAGTCGCCTGAGTGTTGCTTTTTCCTCCGTGGGTGGCTGAGTTTAGTGATAGCCGGAGCTCAAGGAAGGGCGAGGGACTCGGATAACCAAAGCTCAGGACTTGGCTTTACGCCCTGAGACGGTGAGTCGTGGGGAAGTCCAGTGATGCGATGAGTAGGGGTACTGCGGTGAGAGCCGGGGCAGTTGTGTGCTCCTAGGAGTGTGGCACTCACCACTAGCCGTCCCTGGCCTGTGCCAACTGGGGCTGCAGAAGGTGGGTGAGCAGCTGGCCTCAGTTACTGAGCTAAGAGTCATGTCTGATCCTTTGCTTTGAGAGGTATGGTTTTCATGAAGAAGGTGAGTCAGACCTTTCGGTTAGGGGCTAACTCACTTTTTAAAGAAAATTAATTCATTTATTCAAAAGATGGAGTGATAGAGGAAAAAAAGAAATCTTCTGGTTCACTCCCTAGAAGGCTACTACTGCCAGGGCTGCTCGGGCTGGAGCAGACTGAAGCCAGGAGCAAGGAGCTCCATCTGGGCCTCCCACGTGGGTAGCAGAGGGCCAAGCACTTGGGCCATCCTCCACTGCTTTCCCAGGTGCGTTAGCAGGGAGCTGGATCAGAAGTGAAGCAGCCGGGACTCTGGTATGGGATGCTGATGTCACAGGCCACAGCCTAACCTGCTGGGCCACAACTGGGTACCTCATTAAATTCTATTCTTTCTGACTAGTTCCTTTAATTCAAAATATCCTCTTGAATGATAAACTCTACTTTAACGTCCTGTTAATGGTATCTGTTTCATTTCTGCCAGGTTTTCCATACCTCAAACGTTGCTACAGCTTCTTTGTGATTCTGGAGATTAACAAGGTAATTATTTTAATTACAGGTAGAGCCATTGATACTATTAGTATGTGTTTTATATTTTGTTAAAATCGCTCTCAACTCAGGTAAAAGTCCCAGCAAAAAAAATGTTGATTCAGATCGGCTCTACAACAGGTAGAGATGCTGTTCGGAGCTACCTAAATGAAAAGCCATCATATTTACTGCTGCACAGGGGAAAAGGACTTCCTCTTGGTGTCCCCACTGTCCAGGTACCTTCCCATAGCCTTGGAGCTTGAGGTTGGATTGAAAAGTCTGTATCTAAAGGCCTGGAGTCAGTGGAGACTGGTTCTGAAAACTGGATTTTGCAGGAGGCCCCAGAAAACAGGTGACTCAGCTGAGGAACGTCCAGCATGGACCGTGCCCTGTCACCTGGTGCAGAGGGCGCTTAAAAAATTAGAGCAAAGACACCTCAAGTGAACCGCGAATGGCATGATGATGGGGTGGGAGAGATGCAAGGAATTTGGCCTGAGCTAGGAACCTTACTGGAGGAGCTGAACATGCAGAGGCCACTTTGTGCCATGTTAAGGTTTTTTTTTTTTTTTAATGTTATTATTATTATTTATTTAACAGGTAGAGATATAGATAGTGAGAGAGAGAGACAGAGAGAAAGGTCTTCCTTCTGTTGGTTCACCCCCCAAATGGCTGCTATGCCTGGTGCCAATCTGAAGCCAGGAGCCAGGTGCTTCCTCCTGGTCTCCCATGCGGGTGCAGGGCCCAAGCACCTGGGCCATCCTCCACTGCACTCCTGGGCCACAGCTAGACTGGAAGAGAAGCAACTAGGACTAGAACCCGGCGCCCATATAGGATGCTGGTGCCGCAGGCGGAGGATTAACCAAGTGAGGCACGGTGCCGGCCCCCAGTGTTAAGGGTTTTTAAGGCCAGTGTTAGGCTGGGAAGAGTTCAACTGCACTCCTGGAATGTCTGAGTCTTGCCTCTTATCACAAATTGTCATAATACTTGCTGGGCCATTAGCATCACCAGGGCTATACCTTAGTTGACAACTGGGTCTTTGCTGCTTCCTTGCTACTTGGAAGATCCCCCTGGAACTCAGTAGGTACCCACATGTTGATGGTGATTACTGCTTTTCATTCCACAGACAGACTTGCTTGGAGCCACTCCACTTCCTTTTCTCTATTGCTGACACATCTTTTTTAAGATTTTTTTTATTTGAGGGGTGGAGTTACAGATGGAGGGAGAGACAGAGAGAATGATCTTCCATCTGCTAGTTTACTCCCCAAATGGCTGCAACAGCCAGAGCTGAGCTGATCCAAAGTCAGGGCCAGGAGCTTCTTCTTGGTCTCCCACATGGGTGCACTTAGGCTGTCTTCCACTGCTTTCCCAAGTGCATTAGCAAGGGAGCTGGATGGGAAGTGGAGCAGCTGGGACACAAACCGGTGCCTGTATGGGATGCTGGTGCTGCAGGTAGCGGCTTAACCTGCTGTGCCACAGCACCAGCCCCCATTTTATCAATGACTAACTCATTTAACTCATAGCAGCCCTCACAGGAAGGTTCATTTGTAGGTCCATTCTACAGATGGGGAAATTGAGGCACAGAAAGGTCAAATAACTTGCTCAGGATCATAGAGCTAGGCACCTTTAGACAGAGATAGAAACCCAGGAGGCTGAACTTCAAAGTTCATCTTTGAAATGGCCAAGCTGTGTTGTGTATCATGTTCCCTTTCTTTGTTTCAGGTATACTGAGTTGTTTTTGTAAATGAAGTGTTACCGGAATACAGAGACTCCCATGCCTTTGTAATAACTGTGGCTGCTTCCCTGACAAAGGCATGGTTGAGTCGTTGCCGCACAGATCACGTAGGTCCTGCAAAGGCAAAGATGTTTCCTACGTCCTCCTAGACAGAAGTTGGTGGCCCCCAGTTTATTTGATTCATGGTGCTTCTCCCCATTGGAAGTGTATTATTTATTTGACTGTTTATGTCTCTGGTGCTAGGTAATACAATCCTGGAGAACAAGGATCTTTCTGGTTTGTTCCTTTTTGTACGCTTAGTTCCTAGCACAGAGCCTGGCACCTAGCAGGTGCTCAATAAGTATTTATTGCTTAGTGACATAGCAGAGTGTGTTGTAATTATACTAAGCTCTTGACACTTTTCTTTGCCTTTCAGAGGAATTTTTCCTTTTTTTTTTTTTTTTTTTTTGGAAGAAAATCACTTTATTCTACTCATAAACAATAACATTACAACAGCTTGTTCAAGGAGACCAAACATCTGTCCAGCCCCAAATTCAGTATCATCTCAATGAATTTCCACTAAGGAAGCTCTTCACAGCAGATGACAGGCTGACCAGGTGGCTTTACACTACCGATTACATCTGTATGCTAAAGTAACTTGGTCATGAGATCCAATTTTCTGCTTCATCCTGAGCTTCTTGATTAGACTAACCCGTTTGCAATTCTGCACTGTCTCAGGACTTCATTGAAACCCTCACAGAGCTTAACGTCACTCTGGTTCTGGGCACACTCCAGAAACTGCTTTATCTCGTAGGAGCAAGGGCCAAACTGCTGCTGCTGTGCTAACTGGGCTCCCTGGGGCTCCTGGTAAGTGATGTCGGGCCGCGAGGGCTCAGCACTGTTTCCTCCACTGAAGCCCCCAGTGATGGCGTGGCCCAGCGTGTGCCCAACAGCAGAGCCCACGGCCACGCCAGCTGCAGTGGTGGCCATCTGGGCCATCAGGCCTGGCTGTCGGGGTGCCGCGGCGGGCGAGCCCACTGCAGATGGTGGGGCTGCTGCTGGCGGCTGAGCTACTGGCGCTGGCCTCGGGGCGGCTCTCATCTGAGGAGCCCGGCTGGCCGGAGGGGCCATGCGGGAGGTACGGCTGCGGCTTCCACGCGGCATCTTCACGGCCAAGCTACCCCGGCGTCTCCAAGGACGAAACTCTCGAATTTTTCCTTTTTTAAAACATTATTTATTTGTGTGGCTAACGGTGTGGCATAGTGAGTGGAGCCACTGCCTACAATGCCAGCATCCCACATGGGCGCTGGTTTGTATCCTGGCTGCTCCACTTCCAATCCAGCTCTCTCCTATGGCCTGGGAAAGCAGTAGAAGATGGCCCAAGTCTTTGGGCCCCTGCACCCGCGTGGGAGACCTGAAAGAAGCTCCTGGCTCCTGGTTTCGGATCAGCACAGCTCCAGCCGTTGCGGCCAATTGGAGGAGTGAACCAGCAGATGGAAGACTCTCTCTCTCTACCTCTCTCTGTAACTCTGTCTTTCAAATAAATAAAAATGAATCTTTAAAAAAAATATTTATTTGAAAGGCAGAGAGACAGAGACGGAGATCTTCATTCCACTAGTTTATTTGCAAATATCTGCAGCAGCCAAGGCTGAGCCCGATTGAAACCAGGAGCCAGGAAATCAATCCGAGTCTCACGTGTGGGTAGCAGGGACTCAAGTACTTGAGCCATCACCTGCTGCCTTCTAGGGTACGCATGAGCAGGAAGCTGGAATCGGATGTGGAGCTGGGACTGCAGCCAGGCACCAGAGTCCTAAGGGCTGCACCACACGCTAGCCACTGAAGAAGTTTCTAGCCACTGAAGAAGTTCTTAAGGAAGGTGTTTTCCATCCGGCCCCTAGGTTTGGAAGTTGCTATGTTAATGCTCCTTGTCTTTGGAGCATTGTTACTTCACAAAGTCCCGCTGAGTGGCCAAGATGGGGCTGGCAGCATCCCAGGAGAGCCAGTGTATGACTACAGCAGCATCCACCTGCCCGAGGAGCACGTTCCCTTCTTCTTGCACAATAACAGGCACGTTGCCACCGTCTGTAAGAAAGACCCACACTGTCCGTATAAGGTAGGTGTCCTTTCTCCCCCTCTTAGTTATTTGTCAAAGAGTGCCATTGATGCTGGCTTCCTAGTTCTGCTCTATAACCTGAGCCTGCAGGTGGAATTCTAACCTTCCCTTGTCATTCTGAGTCCATCCTTGTTTTAATTTCCTCTCTCACTGCCAGAGTGCCTGAACATTAAATGTATGTCCCTTTCATAAGTACCATTTAAAATCCAACTCATCACTGAAATAAATAGGCAGCCCACGCCATCTGTATGTTGCACCAGTGAAGCAAGGTAGATTTTGTACAGAAAAACAATGTTGCGCAAAGTGATTTCGCTAAGAATCTCACACCTCCCACACCTCCCCCTCTTAAACTGCACCAAAGACGGTTTCTTCCTTCTTCATTGCTGCAACAACACCTCAGCCTTGGGTTCCACATAATTAGGACAGTTACTGTGGCCTCCCTCTGTTTTTCAAAGACTTGGAAAGGCCTCAAATAGGAGTCCATTAGCATGTCTCACACAGCCCTGGAGATCAAAGCTGGTCCTTGGGAGGCACTTCCTTTCCCATGGAGCTGGCACAGGGAGCACAGGGAAAAGCAGACCTGAGTCTCAGAGCAGCCTTGCTCCTGGGGCCTTGCTGGCTGTGTTGTCAGCTCCCCCATGGGCTGCAGAGTTGTTGACCTTGTCGGTCCCCAGCTGATCCTGATTGAGGAGTAAACTTCCCTATCCCTTCAACTGAGCTGTGATTCTTTCGGTAACAAACTCCATTGTGTCTTCTTTAGATTTTAGAATCAGTTTGCTAAATTGAGGATGGCAGCTTCAAGAACTTCTAGTTTAAGCGGTGGTTGGGAGTCCAAGTCAAAGCTAGACTTTTGGTTAGGAGACAGGCATGGTGGGGGTAGTCAGGATAATTGTTAAAACCTTGAGACTGCTGCTCTTACAATTTGTTTTAGTTATTGTCGTTGCACAAATACAGCATGCTGTAAACCATGAGCCTGCGAGTTCCATAAAGATTTGTTTTCTTAATGGAAAAGTCTAAGAGTCTTCCCTAAATGTCAGAAAAAGGGAGACCAGTGTAAATGTACCCATTTTGCATTCTAGAAACACTTAGAAAATCTGAAGTCCTGCTGGGGGTATGAGAAATCCTGCAAAGCGGAGTTCAGGTTTGGTTACCCGGTGTGCAGCTACGTGGACATGGCATGGTAAGTTTCCTCTGGAAGACTCGCCTCTCCTTGCAGGCTTCTACTTTGTCTGCAGTGTGCGTTGATGCCCTGATTCCCAGATACACTCCTATGGTTTGAGACAGCCATTCCTTTAGAAACCAGTTAGCCAAAACACTCAGGAGTTCAACTTGTCTGTGTTTCACTGAGACAGGAACATCTGTTGTTTCCTGTGGGGGGTGGGTGGGGGGTGTGTGTGTTATATATTAATGTTAGCTGTTGCAAAACACACTGAACACCGAAGTAAGGGAAAGGGTTTATTGGGGAACACCCAACAAACCGGGGTGAAGGGGCGGCGAAGGAAAAAGAGAGAGAAAGAATATAAGAAAGAAACAGAGAGGAGAGGAGCTAGCAAGGAGAGAAGATAGAGCAGAGAAGAGGAGAGAGGAGAGCAGAGAGCAGGAGAGGAGAACTAAGAAGAACCAAGAGAGCATGTGTGCAGGAACAGGCCCTTTTAAAACTTTGCCTGAGGGCGGGCAGGGAAGCAGGAGCAGCGAATCCCATTAGGATGGGGGTGGAGCCTGGCTCTGGTAGCTGGGCCATACGCCAGTTTCCTAATAGGGTTGGAATAGGGAGGGTGGAGGGAAGGCAGCAGTCTGGACCATAGAACGTATTTCCCCCCAGGTCTGCTATGATGATGAATGGGTGGTGTCTTTGGGGTTCTGTTGGGCAGAGTTAAGTGTATCGAGTGTTCTGAGCCCTGCGAGGGTTTAGGTGAAAGAAGATGCCGTAATGAGTAGTTCATTGTTTACAGTTCTTCAGGACCCTAACTTCCCACGGTTCCGTTGTGTATTTTTATTAAGGAGTAAACCTGTGAATAACCCATTTTGGTAACTTTCTATAGTGAAAGAGAGTTTTGGGAAAAATCAGTAGACTTCCAAGAAGTAGCAAGGAATTTCTAGCGATTTAACTTCTCAGAAAGAAAAATTTCAAGTCCGGAAAAAGCAAAAAGCATGCAACAATCCTCCAATCCTTTTCTTGTGACTAGGACGGACACGGTGGAGTCAGCCGAGGACATATTCTGGAAGCAGGCTGACTTTGGCTACGCCAGGGAGCGGCTGGAGGAGATGCACACACTCTGTCGGCCTGAGCACACGGTGGGCACACAGCTCCTTAGCCATGAGCTTGCTTGTTTTTATCACTTGTTGTTTGCTCTGCTGTCTGGATCGCAATGTGAAAACCAGGTGGATGGCACCAGGAGGGGAATCCTTCATGCTCACGTGTTTATTGGCTTCAAATGTGATTTGACTTCCCCAAATAGGTTGTTCTGTTTCCTTCTGAAGCCCTGGCCTCCTTTTCACACGTGTCTTTAGGGTGTCCTATTTTGAGGCAGTTGAAATATTTTTAGTTTTGTATATGCTAAAGAGGAGAAATGGGTAAATTGCATCTTTTTTTAAAAAGATTTGTTTATTTTATTTGAGAGACAGAGCCAGAGAGAGAGATCGATTGATCTGTCTGTCTGTCTGTCTATCTTCCATCTGCTGGTTCACTCCCCAAATGGCCACAACAGCTAGGGCTGAGCCAGGCTGAAATCAGGAGCCAGGAGCTTCATCTGGGTCTCCCATGTGGGTGCAGGGGCCCCCATACTTGGAACATGCTCCCCAGGCACACTAGCAGCAAGCTAGATTGGGAGTGGAATAGCTGGAACTCCAACTGGCTTTACCCACTACACTGCAGCACCAGCCCTGGTACATTGCGTCTTTTTTTTTTTTTTTTTTTTTTTTGACAGGCAGAATGGACAGTGAGAGAGACAGAGAGAAAGGTCTTCCTTTGCCGTTGGTTCACCCTCCAATGGCCGCCGCAGCCAACGTGCTGCGGCAGGTGCACCGCGCTGATCGGAAGGCAGGAACCAGGTGCTTCTCCTGGTCTCCCATGGGGTGCAGGGCCCAAGCACTTGGGCCATCCTCCACTGCCTTCCTGGGCCACAGCAGAGAGCTGGCCTGGAAGAGGGGCAACCGGGACAGAATCCGGTGCCCCGACCGGGACTAGAACCGCAGGCGGAGGATTAGCTTATTGAGCTGCGGTGCCGGCCTACATTGCGTCTTTGTACACTCCTCCTCAGGCACGTTGGGACACTTGCTGAGCCCCCACTGTGCTACTATATGTTTGCTTAGCATATCACAGTCTGCAGAAAACCTTCCTGTGTGGTACCTAATTTGATTTTGACAAGCGTGGCAGCAGTCAGGCAGAACAGACACCAGTGATGCCAACTTACCATAGTGGAAACAGGGCCCTTGGAGCAGTAAAGCAACCTCTCCAAGACCACGTGGCTACTCCACAGAAATACACCTGTGGAATGAAAACGCAGGGAGCACGTGCTAAGGACGAAATAAAGTTCTATGCATGTAAATGCTCAGTACGGAGCCTGGTTCCCAGGAAAAGACACCTGTTTTTTGTTTTTTCATTTTTCTTTATTTGAAAGGCAGAGAGACAGACAGATGTAGGGAGATCTTCCATCTGCTGGTTTGTGTCCCAAATGCCTGCAATACCCCAGGCTGGGTCAGGCCAAAGCCAAGAGAAACTTAGCACTCAGTCCAGGTCTCCCATGTAAATGAGCCATCACTTGCTCCACCTCATGTGCACATCGGCAGGAAGCCGGAATCAGAAGCAGAGCCATGCACTCTGCTATGGGATACAGGTATCCCAAGTGGCATCCTCACCATGGGGCCAAATGCCTGCCCCAGGTCTCAGTGTTAATTTTGGAGGTATAAGTACTTTTGCTTAAGACATATTGCTCTATAACCCGGTGGTCTTGAACTCTGAGTCTCTGCCATTTCAGAGGACCGCATTGTTGCCAGGCAGTCAGAAATCAAACAAACATTTAAATTCACCTGCAGTCACCAGCTGAATCTATGCTCTGTGATACTATGGGAGGTCCTCGTATCACAGAGTGAATAGCAATTCTAAGAGAAAAGGTGAGTGAAGCCCAAAGATGCGGGGTGTGGTATGAACCTGCGTTGTTGCGGGATGCCTGTAAGAGACACTTGTTTTCACCTGGCACATGTTGGCTGGAGCCCAGCTCTTTGAGTCTTAAGATGGGGGAAGTGGCCGGTTCTGCGGCTCACTAGGCTAATCCTCCGCCTTGTGGCGCCGGCACACCGGGTTCTAGTCCCGGTCGGGGCGCCGGATTCTGTCCCGGTTGCCCCTCTTCCAGGCCAGCTCTCTGCTGTGGCCCGGGAGTGCAGTGGAGGATGGCCCAGGTACTTGGGCCCTGCACCCCATGGGAGACCAGGATAAGTACCTGGCTCCTGCCTTCGGATCAGCGTGGTGCGCTGGCCGCAGCGCGCCGGCCGCGGCGGCCATTGGAGGGTGAACCAATGGCAAAGGAAGGCCTTTCTCTCTGTCTCTCTTTCTCACTGTCCACTCTGCCTGTCAAAAAAAAAAAAAAAATTAAAAAAAAAATGATGGGGGAAGCACCCCAACCCCATCTTGCATACCTTTGTCACAGTGGTTTGTGAAAGGCTGTTGCAGCCCTGGTTTTACCTTGATACACTTTATATTGTGATCTACTTTATGATCCCTGTGTTAGTGGTTTGGCCACTGTGTCAAAATACCAGTGGCTGAGAGGCTTACAAGCAATAGAAAGGTAGTACTCACAGCTCTGGGTGGCAGAAGTGTGAGATCAGGGCGCCAGCACGGTTGGGTTCTGATGAGGTCCCTCTTTGGGGTTGCAGACAACTGCTTTCTCTGTGTGTCTTTACATGGTAGAAGGAGGGCAAAAGAGCTCTCTTGGGCTCCTTTTATAAGTGCACTTATCCTGCTCATGAGGGCTCCCACTCATGACTTAATCAGGTCCCCAAACCCCAGCATCCCATTGGGCATTAGAATTTCAACATAGAAATATTTTTTTAAAAAGATTTATTTATTTGAAAGGTAGAATGACACAGAGAAAGGGAGAGATGGAGAGAGGGAGAGAGAGAGAGAGGGCCTCCATCCACTGGTTCACTCCTCCAATGATTGCAATGGCTGGGGCTGAAGCCAGGAGCCTGGAACTCCTTCCAGGTCCCCCATGTGGGTGGCAGAGGCCTAATCACTTGGGTCATCTGCTGCTGCTTTCCCAGGTGCATTAGCAGGGAGCCAGATAGGAAGTAGAGTATCTGGGACTCCTACCACTGCTCTACTATGAGATGCTGGTATTGCAGGTGGCAGCTTAACTGGCTGAGCCACCGCTCCAGGCCTTCAAGGGAGGAATTTTGCAGGGATGCAATCAGATTACTGCAATCTTTTTTTTTTTTTTTTTTTTTAATGTTTTAAGATTTATTCATCCACTTGAGGAATAGTTAGAGAGAGAGAGAAAGAGAGAGATCCTCCATCTTCTGGCTCACTCCTCAAATGACTGCAACTGCCGGAGCTGGGCCATTCTGAAGCCAGGAGCCAGGAGCTTCCTCTGGGTCTCCCATGTCAGTGTAGGAGTCAAAGCATGTGGGCCATTCTCTGCTGCTCTTCCAGGCAAACTAGCAGGGAACTGGATCAGAAGTGGAGTGGCCGGGACGCAAACCAGAGCCCATGTTGGGTGCTGGCATTGCTGGCCCCCAGATTACTGCAATCTTTTACCAACTACAAACTCTAAAGCATCCGGCAGAGAAAGAGTGAGGCCTTGTGTTCATTAAAAACAACACCTAAATCTATGAACAGAAAAACTATTTGAAACGCTCCTACTTTCGGCACAAGCCAGATTGGCTGAGATAGAATCAGCCTCCGGTAGTTGGCTCTGAAACTCCTGTATGCAGCTGTTTATCAGAGTGCCCTGGTGCTGCTGCTGAGACCAAGTCTCCCACCAGCTTCCTGGCTTGCAGGAGGGCCTCTTGGGAGGGTTGGCAAGCTCCCTGTCCCACCCTGCATTTTCACGTCTCTTCCGTGTGCGTTCTTCTTTGTTTCCCTTGGCTCATCTTTGCACGTTGCTTTTTCACAGAGCTGTGAGGGTGGTCATGGTTCTCAGTGCTTGATTTTTTTTTTTTTAAGGAGACTGAACTGAACCACACAGATGAGCGGTCTTTGCAGAGGTCATGGGAAAAGCTGTATTATGAACAAACTAGGCATGGATTTCAATTTTTTTTTTTGGTACCAAAATAAACATAGTCTTTAATTCCTTGTTGCAATAGTCTCAAGCAGCTGTTGGTTTTTAACATTGGAGGTGGTGCAGTTAGAACCAAGTGGGAGGTCTTCGTAGTAACCCAGAAGTACGGGAAGTGGCCAAAGCATGCTTGGCCGTGGCCAAAGCATGCTTGGCCGTGCCCTGCATGACCAAGGAAGGAGGAAGATGTTCTTAAGTTGATGCAGTGTTTGGAGAGCTTCCTTCTGCGCGTTGTGCAGTGTGCAGTGAGCATAGGCATGCTGTGACTGCCTGCTGAATCTGGGTGAGTCTTCCCCGGGTGAATGTTTGGAGTTTTTGAGTTACCTTTTCCTCTTTCACAACCCTGTTTCAGGGTGACTCGAGTCTGGCTTGCTCGCGGTATCTTCAGTATTGCAGGGCCACGCATCTCTACCTTGACTTGAGAAACATCAAGAGGAACCACGACAGGTACTGAAGCAGTTCGTGTTAAACCCTGATAGAAATTCGGAAAGACGTGAGAACCCGGGGTGTGTCCTGGGTTTGTTTAGTAATAAGATGGCCGAGGGACTGGGGACAGGGTGGGAGATAGATGTCTCAGACTGGCTATGAATTGATCACGTTGACAAATTGTGTCATGGACATATCACTTATGTGATTCTGATATTCTGTAAACATCTGACATTTTCTGTTGCAAATGCAGTTACGTGGCGCTTAACGACAAGAAACATTCTCAGAAATGCATCCTTAGGTGATTTTGTGGTTGTGTAGGCATCGTAGAGGGTACTCACAGGAATGAACGTGGCCATGATGCCCACCGGGTGGTATGATCTTGAGGGACCATACATGCAGTCCGTCATTGACACAAGTGTCGTTAGGGGCACGTGACTGTAACCAAGTCCCAGTGAAAAGCTGGCTTTGGAGACTGGTCATCTCCCATAGTTAAAACCCATGTAGTCGAGTGGTGAAAAAATTTCTAAAACCCTATTCAATTTTTTGTTATGCTCCAGATTTAAGGAAGACTTTTTTCAGAGTGGTGAAATTGGCGGACACTGTAAACTTGACATTCGTACACTGATGTCTGAGGGTCAACGCAAAAGCCCTCTGCAGTCTTGGTAAGATTTCTCTTTAAACATCTGTTTCTGAAATATTGGCCTTTATTTCTGGCACTTGTGGATTTGGGTAGGGATTCTCTAGTGGAAAATGTTATTGGTTTGTAGATAATTTGCCATGAGCTTCTTTGGCCTGATGGCTAGAGTGAATCCCATGGTTGTACGTGAATTACTGTTGGGTGCAGTGGTTAAGACTCGGCTTAGGATGCCTGTATCCTGTATCAGAGTGCCTGGGTTTGTGTTCCACATTCGGTCCAGCTTCACCTTCCTGCTAATGCGCACTCTGAGAGGCAGCAAGTAATGGTTCAAGTATTTGGGTCCCTGCCACCCTGCGGGAGACCTGGATGGAGTCCTGGGCTCCTGGCTTCAGCCTGTCCTAGTCCCAGCTGATGCAGCCATTTGGGGCCTGAAGCAGCAGATGGAATATATCTCTCTGCCTTTTAAATAAATAAAAATAAATAAAAATTATGGATATGAGTTTACAAAATATTAGGAAGTCTGACATTGTACTAACTGTTCACTCATAAAAGAAAAAAATCATTTCACTGATGAATTTTTATTCACTCATAATTGGTACATATATTTGGGAGGACATATTATAATTTTTATATTTTTATTTATGTGAAAGACAATAAGAGATTTTCCATCTGCTGGTTTGCTCCCATTGCAACAGGGCTGGGCTAGGCTGAAGCCAGGAGCCCAGGACTCAACCCAGATCTCCTACATGAGTAGCAGAGACCCCAGTGGCTGGGCCAACACCTGCCGCCTCCCAGGGTGTGCATTAGCCAGAAGCAGGAATTGGAAGTAGAGCCAGGACAGAAACCCAGGCGCTCTGATACAGGATGTAGGTGTCCCAAGGGGCATCTTAACCCCTGCATCAAACATCCACCCCAAATGAATCACATTAAAAAAAAATACACACACATTGAAATGTATAACAAGCATACAGAAGGGCTTGCAGTTTGGATTATGAAAAAGTGAACCCACCCATTTATCTCTGATGAAAGTCAAAAATAAAACATCATCGGCACCCCAGGTCCCCTTCCAAGGCTCACTCCCTCCCCCTTTCCCAAGGTAAAAGCTGTCCTGACTTTTAACATCACTGCACAGCTTTTTTAACTTGAAAACTTTTTAGTTTAAAATAATTTTAGACTCATGGAAGTTTCAAAGTAATATAGGGAGTTCCAGTTGAGCTGTTCCCCAGCCTCCTCTGGTGATAATCTCCTGTAAGGACAGCACGTTGATCAAAACCAGGGAAGGAGCACTTGGACAATACTGGAAACTAAACTCATGTGGACCTCACTGATGTTTGCTTGCATTCATCTCTTTTAAAAGCATGTAGAGTTCAGAGTTCTGTGAAATAAATGTCCCATGTCTAGGTGCATGTCATCAGCAGGCACGGGCAGGATAGAGAATTGTTCCATCATCCCCAAGGTCTCCTGTGCTACCGTGCTACTGCTTTTTGGTTACATAGGTTATGCTTATGTACGAGGGGACTTTGAAAAGTCTATGGAACAGAGTGACAGAGAAAATAACTGGTAAGGCCAATGGGGATAACAGTACCCAGCTTTCAGATCATGGCAAAGTATGTATGTATATAGCATTCATCAGGCTAATTTTTACTTTTATATATGTTTACAGTTGTCTCCAAATAAAAAGAATTGTAAAAAGCCATTGAAACTGGAATTACAAAAACCACTCTTAAAAATAATGTCAATTGAGGGGACACATTAAGTTTTTTAAAAATAAAAAAAAAAGTCTATGGAAAATAGAAGTAAAAGATAAGTTTTTTGGTGTAAAAAATTCTTGAACTCCATACATGGTTTTCTCATACTACACATTTCCTGTGACCTTTTCCAGGCCCCTGATAATGTTAATTTTTGAGGTCAAACATTCATGCTGAGCAAACCATTCAGTAAATAACGATCTAGCATCTTCAGATTGAATAGATGTGTGGGCAAATGGGCATTTTGATTGCTGGTACATTTCTTATTTAGCAATTTGTTAAATACTTCAAAGAGGCCTTTCCCCCCCCTTTTTATGTGTTTATTTGAGAAAGAAAAAGAGAGTGAGAGAGAATGCTCCATGGGTAGCTCATTCTCCCAAATGCCTTCAGTGGCCTCACAAGTTCAGGCTGAAGCTGGGAGCCGGGAAGTCTATCCAGATCTCCCATGTGAATGGCAGGGACTCAGTTACTTGAGCCATCACCACTGCTTTTCAGGCTCTGCATTAGCAGGAGGTTGGATCAGGGGCCAGAGTTGAGTACTGAACCCAAGGATGTGGGCGTCTTAACAGCAGCTTAACTGCTAGGCTAACCACCACCCCCACCCCCACCCCCACCCCCACCACCCCTACCGCGACCTTGTGCATATTACTATCTGATTCCCTGTTGTTGCGCCCTAGGATGTAACTGAGCTGTTTATTGCTATGCAACGCATTACTCCAAGGTCGTATTGCAGTATAAGAAGTTACTCCAGCATATAGCAGTTTAGCATGACAAACATCTCACCCCATTGCTGATCTCTTATGAGGCTGCATCCCAGCTGGCGCCTGAAGCAGTGGCCATCGCAGCTCCGCTGGGCCTGGACAGTCTGCTCTGAGCTCTCCCAGTTTGTGGTTAGCCTCAGTTCCTCTCGGACACAGGCCAGAGACTTCCGTTTCCACCCCTTGGGCCTCTCCCTAGTGCTGACTCTCAGTGTAGCAGCTTCTGTCCCCAGGATGGTGGGCTCTGGGTGTGTCCCCGGAAGCTGCAGGGTTTGTGTAACCTTATCTCGGAGGTGGCCATGGCTTCTGCTGTGGTCTGTTTGTTACAAGTGAGTCCCTGAGTCTGGCTGCTCTCAAGGTGTGGAATAACCTTTGACCTATTAAAGGGAGAAACACTGGAGTATTTGTGGGCATAGTTTTGAAACCGCCCTGATATTTTGGCATTGTGTTTTAGAAGGATCTCTTTTAGCTGGCGCCGCGGCTCACTAGGCTAATCCTCCGCCTTGTGGCGCCAGCACACCAGGTTCTAGTCCCGGTCGGGGTGCTGGATTCTGTCCTGGTTGCCTCTCTTCTAGTCCAGCTCTCTGCTGTGGCCCGGGAGTGCAGTGGAGGATGGCCCAGGTACTTGGGCCCTGCACCCCCTGGGAGACCAGGATAAGTACCTGGCTCCTGCCATCGGATCAGCGCGGTGTGCTGAGAAAGGAAGGCCTTTCTCTCTGTCTCTCTCACTGTCCACTCTGCTTGTCAAAAAAATTAAAAAAATAAAAAGATAAAAAAGAAGGATCTCTTTTGATATTTGCTTTACATGAGATAGGATCTCAAGCATGAGGAGTTTAGACCATCCTTGTGTTAAAACTCTAAATGCCTCAGTAATGTGTTTGTGATTATATATATATATATATGTATGTATATTTTTCCCCCTGGTTTGTAAGAAAACTGTACCTTGTGGCTTCCAAACATGTTTCCCAAGAAGCAGACTTGCATTTCTTCTAGGAAGCTTAGCTGTCTACAGTCTTTCTAGAGAATTCATTCTGGGAAGCTTAGCTGTCTGCTGTCTTTCTAGAGAATTCCTGGAATGCCATGTTTCTCGGAACCCAAGAGGTCTACTGAAAGAGCTTCTCTGGCCTGTTGTTCCTTTTGAGCCTCATCAGGAACCTTTTTTGAATTTTCTTACTTCACCGATAATTTTTTAAAATTAATTAGTTAATTTGAATGGCAGAGTGACAGACAAAGAGGGAGATCTTCCATCTGCTGGTTCACTCCCCATTTGGCTACAACAGAGAGGACTGGGCCCAGTTGAAGTCATGAGATAGGAGTCAGGAACTTTGTCTGGGTCTCACACATGGGTGGCAGGAACCCAAGTTCCTGGGCTGTCGCTGGCTGCCTCCCAGGGTACACGTAAGCAGGAAGCTGAACTGGAAGCACATTGTAGCTGGGACGCAGACCGAGCACTCTGATAGGGGATGTTGGTTTCCCAAGAGAGGACCTACCCTGCTGAACCCCAGCACTCATCCCTTACTATTAGATTATTTAGCCAACCCAGTGTACATGTATAAATCTCTTCTTTGTGTCATATGTTCCCAGTGTAACTCTTATGTATGTTAGACTCAGCTATTTTTTTTTTAAGATTAATTTTATTTATTTGAAAGAGTCACAGAGAGAGGTAGAGTCAGAGAGAGGTCTTTTCCATTTGCTGGATCACTCCTCAAATGGCTGCAATGGCCGGAGCTGAGCCAATCTGAAGCCAGGAGTCAGGTGCTTCTTCCAGGTCTCCCATGTGGGTTCAGGGGCCCAAGGACTTGGGCTGTCCTCTGCTGCTTTTCCAGACGCATTAACAGGGAGTGGAATTGGAAGTGGAACAGCCGGGACTCAAATGGGAGTTCATATGGGAGGTTGGTGCTATGGGCCAACCTGATTTAACCTGCTGCACCACAGTGCCGGTCCCAGACTGTGTTTTTAAGTCATGTTTGTTCCTGTCTCCACATTAAAATTGATATCAAATTGTGGAAATGCCAATACGTTTGAGAAGTTGCTCATCTCAGTAGAAGTGCTTTTGCATGTTGGAAATAAAATCTGCCCAGGGAACAGACCCTACATTATAATGTTGCAGGAGGAGGTCTGGGAAAAATCTCCTTGAAGTCATGTCCTCATTCATCATTGCAGGTTTGCTGAGCTCCAAAGCTATACCCAGCTTAACTTCAGACCTATAGAGGATGCGAAGTGTGACATTGTTATTGAAAAGCCAACATATTTCATGAAATTAGATGCAGGTAAGAAGTTAATTTGTCTGTTGTGTATATATTGGTTAATGAGACTTTACTGTTTTCTCTTTGATTTATATTATATATGTAGTAATTTTCTATAAATTTTTTGAACATAATATGACAAACAGTAGACTCGCTTTTTTGTTTTGTTTTTTTAAAGACTTATTTATTTTGGAAATCAGAGTTACAGAGAGAGAGGGAGAGACAAAGAGAGTGAGAGAGAGAGATCTTCTGTCCACTGGTCCACTCCCCAGATAGCTGCTGTGGCCAGCACCGGGCCAGACTGAAGTCAGGAGCTGGGAGCTTTGTCCGGGTCTCCCATGTGGGTGGAGGGACCTAAGCCCTCGGACCATCTTCTGCTGCTTTCCCCAGGCAGAAAAGCAGGATCCACTAGCAGGAAGGTGGATCAGAAGTGGAGGAGCTGGAACATGAACCAGTGCCCATATGGGATGCCGACGTCATAGGCTTTATGGGCCACACCACAATGCCAGCCTCTAGACTTTTTGTTTCTTCCTTGAAGAAGTAGATAAACTAGTTTGAACTTTGGTGTTTTGTTTTATGTATCAAAATTTATTATTTATTTATTTAAGAGGCAGAGAGAAGGGGAGAGCAAGAGCATGTCCATTTGCTGGTTCACCCCCTAAATGGCTGAGACGGGACCCAGGCAGATCTGGGAGTTGGGAATTCTGTCCAGGTCTCTGCGCGGGGCACAGGGCCACAATTTCTTGAGCACTATTCTGCTGCCCACCAGGGGCTGCATTAGCAGAAAGCTGGAGTCAGGACAAGAGCCAGCTGTGGAACCCAGGCACTCCTTCATGGGGCACAAATGTCTTAGCTGGCCTCAACCTGCAGGCTAACCCCACTCACCCAGAAACGTTTTATTTAAGGAATACAAATTTCATGCATTTCATAAATACAACTTCAGTAGTGTAGCGATTCTTCCCACCCTACCTGTCCTCCCACCTGCACTCCTACCTTTCTTCCTCCTTCCTCTCTTTTTCCCGTTCTTAGTTTTTACTAATATCTATTTTAAATTAACTTTAAACACATATGATTAACTCTATACTAAGTAAAGAGTTCAACAAATAGTATGAAAAGAAGACCTGTTCCTCAACAGTCGGGATAAGGGCTGTTCAAAGTCATCACATCTCCAAGTGTTCATTTCACTTCTACAGATTACCTGTTAGAGCTCTGTTAGTTATCACAGATCAGGGAGAACAAATGGTATTTGTCCTTTTGGGACTGGCTTATTTCACTAAGTATTATGTTTTCCAGTTTCATCCATTTTGTTGCAAATAACAGGATTTCATTTTTTTTCCTCTGAGTAGTATTCCATGGTGTACATATCCCATAATCCCCCCCAAGAAACCTTTTATTTAAGGAATACAAACTTCATGCATTTCATAAATACAACTTTAGGAACATAGTGATTCTTCCCACCCTACCCACCTTCCCACCCGTACTCCTTCTTCCTCCTCCATCTCCTAGTCCCATTCTTAGTTTTTACTAAGATCTAGGCAGATATCTTTTGTAGCTAAATTTACCCCATCTAGTTTCTCTAATCATTTGATTTAGATTGTGTTTAATTAGAGTTTTTTTAGAAAAAGCCACGGGCTGATGCTGTGGCGCAGTAGGTTAATCCTTTGCCTGTGGCGCCAGCTTCCCATATGGGTGCCAATTCTAGTCCTGGCTGCTCCTCTTCTGATCCAGCTCTCTGCTATGGCCCAGGAAAGCAATAGAGGATGGCCCAAGCGCTTGGGCCCTGGCACCTGCCTGGGAGACCTGGGAAAAGGTCCTGGCTCCTGGCTTTGGATCGACCCAGCTCTAGCCATTGCAGCCATTTAGGGAATGAACCAGTGGATGGAAGACCTTTCTCTTTGTATCTCCCTCTCGTTGTCTGTAACTCTACCTCTCAAATAAATAAAATCTTAAAAAAAAAATTAAAAGCCACAAATACAAGGGTATTTCACAACATACATGGGAAAATGGAATTAAAATATGTTTGTTTTGTTCCCCAAAAGTTTGAAATCCATGCATAGTTTTTCATAATATGTATTTTCCATAAACTTCTGAAAGACCTCTTGTGTTTATGGATTTCAAATTTTTTGCATGAAAATAAGCTTATCTTTTAGTTTCATTTTCCAGACTTTTGGTATTATAATGTGGGTGAGAAAAAAAATGTCCCCATGACCCACTCCCACCAACTTTCCAATATTTTCTTGATGACAGTGAACTGAATTCTTCCACAAATTACCAGGGTTGTATATTCTTGAAAAAAAGTAAAATTAGGAGCCGGCGCTGTGGTGTAGCTAGCTGGTGAAGCCGCTGCCTGCAGTGCCGGCATCTCATATGGGGACTGGTTCGAGTCCCGGCTGCTCCACTTCTCATCTAGCTCTCTACTGTGGCTTGGGAAAACAGTAGAAGATGACTCAAGTCCTTGGGCCCCTGCACTGACATGGGAGACCCAGAAGAAGCTCCTGGCTCCTGGATTCGGTCTGGCCCAGTGCTGGTCATTGAGGCCATCTGGGTTGTGAACCAGTGGATGGAAGACCTCTCTCTGTCTCTCTCTCTCTGCCTCTCCCTCTCTATAATTCTGTCTTTCAAATAAATAAACAAACTTTTAAAAAGTAAAATTAATATTATTTTCCCATTTCTGCCCCTAGCCTGAAATTATCAACTTGCAAGCAAGCATAGCCTTAACTTTGTGAGCTTGTTGTCCCTCACAGGAGAAACCCAGATCATGCTGTAGGATCGCTCTCATTATGAGCGATGGAGATTTCTGTGCTACATCATATCAAAATTCATGAGAGGCTGGGCTGACAGTGAAATACGGCGAGCCCTCTGTCGCGAAAGTTTCAGAATCACTGTAATTTATTGATCACAGCTTTAATGTGCTTGGCCTTCCGAAGTCCTAATTCTTACTTTGCAAAGCGTTAGATTCAGAAATCACACAAGTTTAGGTGCTTGAAATAAGAGCAAGTAAAAATGCTGTGATCAACGTTCTGACTCATTCATAGACTATGCATGTTAAACAGGGGCACAGACAGCAGTGTGACCAGCTGTGAAGGAGGGGCCATGTCTGAGCCCTGACACTGCTGCAGATCCTGGTGCCGTAAAGTACGTGAAGAGGGAACGCCACTGCAGGGGCCATGGGCCCTTTATTTCCTGAATTCCCAACTCTTCTTTTTCCCTACAACTTCGGCTGTCATCCAGTTCGCCTTTTTGTATTAACCGTGAGCTGGGGAGCACGCAGGTTCTGCAGAACAAGACTCACTGGGGGGCATGTTTCTCCAGGACGGAGCCTGTTTATAAATCCTTGTAGCAGCAAGCACTGGTCTGTGCAGGCTGCGTTCCTCAATAAATGTTAGGAACTTTCTAAATGTTACGTGTGAGAGCTAGCGTGTGCTGTATGGCTAGCCTGGGGGTAAGATGGAATCTAATAGAACTTTTCTTTTCTGGTTAAGTTGAAAGTATGTTCTATGCCAAGACTTCTCTGGGTGAAAAAAAAAATTAGCCATTCCAGACATTGTTCAAGCATCCCAAGCTGAGGGGCAGGCACTTAGCCAAGCAGTTAGGACACTGGCTAAGGTGACCTATCACAAATCAGAGTACCTGGTTTCCATACCCAGCTCCGGCTCCTGGCTCCGGCTTCCTGTTAATTCAGACCTTTGGAGGCAGCGTGATGGCTCCAGTGATTGGGTGCCTGCCATCCATGTGGGAGACGTGACTAAGTTCTCGGCTCCTGCCGTTGGCCTCACCCAGCACTCCTACAGGGAGCATATGGGGAGTAAACCAGCAGATAAGAGCTCTCTCTGTCTCATTGCCTCCGAAATAAAATAGTATCGAAAATAAAAAAAGCCATGTTCAGCCTTCAAAACTTTTTTGTACCAAAATAGACTTATCTTTTAATTCCCTTTTTCCACGAGCTTCTTAAAGTACTCTGTATTTTCCCTAGTAGTAACTAAATAGGGAAGAAAAGAGATAATCAAATTTACCAAAATGTTAATCATTGCCAGTACTTTTTGTGATAAGCGGGTGTTGCTTAATAGATTTTTAAAAAGAGATGATCAGAAGAAATAATGATCCATATTCATAGTCCCATAGTTCTACCCCAGTTTGAGTTAAGTAAATGTATTTTTTTTTCTGGGCACTTAGTGATCATTTGTTAGCATATATGGGAATATGCATTCCTGATTTCTAAATAACTAATTTTAAAGCACACTCTTGAATCGTATCTGTCCGTAAATTGTAGACCATCTGAGTATATGTCATTTCATGTTTGGACAAAGAAATCTTTTTTCTCCCTCCCCCATTTATTTCAACTAAAAGTCCATCAACTTGTAAATAGGGGGCATATAATAAAAACTGTGGAATCAGGTGTTCTTGGGGGCTAACTAATGACATGAATTTCCTTTTTTCTTTTTTCCAAAACCAGGAGTTAACATGTATCACCACTTCTGTGACTTCCTCAACCTCTATCTCACCCAGCATGTCAATAACTCCTTCAGCACCGACGTGTACATCGTCATGTGGGACACCGTAAGTCAGAGTGTGCCCCCGTTGCGGCACTGCCTTCGCCTTGCGCCATCCGCACGGGATGCTGATCTTGGGACATACATGACCTTGTGCATGCCCCATGCAAAAGCTCTCACACCTGTGTGGGCAGTGTACAGCTGTGTCTGTGCACACGTGTTGACATGGCTGTGCCCCGACGGGCAGGTGCATTTGTATGTGTGGCCTTTTGTTCTTGGAACTTCAGCATGAATCAGTGAGGAGTCTTTTGGGTGGGTGGAGTTCCAAAGACCCCAGCTTCAGTGTCTTTGGCTCAGTGTTCCTCTGAGGCAGACATAGGAAGACGGTCATTGGCTCACCCTTGGTAACGCGTGTTCCAGGAACTCGCCTTCAACATGGCTCAGGGTCCCCCGTGTACTGTGCCACTTGCTTCGTGTCAGATCACTCTGTGTGTTTCAGCTTCGGGAGCACACAGAAACCTGTGTTGAATTACACTACCTGATGGGTCGTTTCCTTCTCTTCTCTCTCTGCCTTTCTCTTTTTTTTTTTTTCCCTGCTGCTTTCCTTATCTGGTCCTTCTCCCTGCTGAAACAACCCATAAACGTGCCCCTGTCCTTAGCCGTGAAACGGGGGCACTTAGAGTGCCTTCCTCAGCGTCCTGAGGATGAGCCAGGGCATGTAGGAGCAGTCCTGGAACCTGGCACACAGTGCACATGCTCAGAACGCTAACTGTGACGGGGACAGTGACAGGGAGGACAAATGGTTTGAAGTGTCCATGAGAGAGGCTGCCTAACGTGGAAAGTAGGAACACCCACCAAGGGGTTATGTCCGGGTCAGGTGAGCATCCTGACTTGGAAGACACTTGGCTGCCTCTCTTTTGGTGTGAGTCTGTTCTGGATGGTATTTTAGGGCTGTCGTAACTTGGTGGCAGGGGCACATCAGGTGCCCCTCTCCCTCTTCTTCTTTTTCTCTCTCTCTCTCCCTCTCCCCCTTCTACCTTCCTCTCCCTCTTCCTCCCCCCCCCCCTTTTCTCCCTCATCCTCTCCCCATCTCCCTCTCTGTCCCTGTCCCCCACGTAGCACAGCTCAGGTGCAAGGAGACAACATCCACCCGGGGCTGCGTTGGCTGAAGAGCCTCGTGCCCCACAGGGGCCTGCACAGCCTGGATCAGCTGGAGGGGCAGAGCCTCCAGGGTCCCCACAAGAGACACTTTAGTCACAAGAGGTATGGTGCTCACGGAGGCTTTCCTGGTCCAGATGCAGTTAGCTCAACAAGCATCTGTTTATTTATCTGTTTTGTTTATTTGATAGATAGAGAACTCCCATCTCGTGGATCACTCCCCGATGCCCACAGAACTGGGCTGGGCTGGGCTGAAGCTGGGAGCTGAGAACTGGGAACTCAATCCAGGTCTCCCACATGGCAGGCAAGGCCCCAGCTCCTAGGAGGAAGCTACTAGAGCTGGGTATTGCACCCAGGTACTCCGAGGTGGATGCAGGCTTCTGAACTGGCACTTTTAAAAATCAGAAGTGATGGCTCCTAGAAACATCTTTTTTTTTTTTTTTAAAGTTTTTTTTTTTTTTTTGACAGGCAGAGTGGACAGAGAGACTGAGAGAAAGGTCTTCCTTTTTCCGTTGGTTCACCCTCCAATGGCTGCCGCGGCCGGCGCAGTGCTGATCCGAAGACAGGAGCCAGGTGCTTCCTCCTGGTCTCCCATGGGGTGCAGGGCCCAAGCACTTGGGCCATCCTCCACTGCCTTCCTGGGCCACAGCAGAGAGCTGGACTGGAAGAGCAGCAACCGGGACAGAATCCGGCGCCCCAACCAAGACTAGAACCCGGGGTGCCAGTGCCGCAGGTGGAGGATTAGCCTAGTGAGCCCCAGCGCTGGCCCCTAAAGTTTTTTTTTTTTTTTTTTAAAGATTTTATTTATTATCTGAGAGATAGAGTTACAGAGAGGTAGAGACAGACAGAAAGGTCTTCTCCCCGATGGTTCACTCCCTAAATGGACACAATGGCCAGAGCTAAGCTGATCCAAAGTCAGGAGCCAAGAGCTTTTTTCGGGTCCCCTATGCAGGTGCAGGGGCCCAAGCTCTTGGGCCATCTTCTGCTGTTTTGCCAGACCCTAGCAGAGAGCTGGATTGGAAGAGGGGCAGCTGGGACTCAAACTGGTGTCCGTATGGAATGCCAGCACCTCAGATGGAAGCTTGGCCTACTAGCCACAGCGCAGGCCCATCAGAGTAAGAGCGGTAGGTTCTAAGTGTGTTCTCAGATGGTGCAGTCAGCGACTGGTGGAAGCCAGGACTGCAGTGCAGGCAGCCAGGCCCCAGCCCTGTGCTCAGAGACCACAATGCTTGACTGCCATCCTGGAGTCGTCAGAAGAAGCTGTTAGGTTGACAGAGATCTGCAAAGCTTCCTTATTCCTGTTGGATGCTTTCCAACTTCTTCCCCAGGCAGACGCACTGAGCCAGCCTCCAGGGCCCTGCCCTTCGCTGTGCCTGCTGGGGGCACAGAGGAGGCTTCCAGGCTGCTGAGCCCCCTGGGCATATGATGTGAGGGCAGTCTGACCTTGACAGTGGGTGGGACAGGCAGGCTGGGGGGAGCCGAGCAGGTGGCTGCCCTGCCATTGACCTCGCTCCCTTGCTGCTCTGTCTGCGTCCTTTTTAATCCTGCATTCTTGGTAAAAGAGGCCTTCATTGATTGTCCCGTGCTAGGTTCTCAGGACACAGCTCTGCCAGGCGGCTCTGGAATTCAGGCCCCTGGCAGACTGTCGGTTGGATTGGGATGGGGCTGAGGGTTGTGTGCTTGCTCTTTCTCTTGTTCGTGATTAATTGACCTCCAGTTAAGCAATGCATTGAACTACAGGCTGACTGTGCCGTGGGTCCCCCGCATAGGACGGTGTCACCGCAGTCGGTCCTGCAGGCCTCAGGGGAGCACTTTGCCCAGGGAAGAACAGGGAGGTGGCTTTGCCTGCACTTCAGGTCTCAGGGACGTTGTACAAACTGTCTCCACCAGGAAGCCTCTGGGGCTTTCCCTCTCTCCTCTTTGCAAAGCTCAGCAGTTTGGCCCCTCCCTTCAGGCATAGGCTGCTGGGCACTTGATCTCCACAGATGCATAGACAAAGACTACCTCCAACATCTTTCTGGGCATAGATGGGGCTTTTATTAAGTGGAAGGAGTAAAGGGGGAGATTAATGCAGGCTTTCCACATTCTCTTGTGCTGAAAAATAGTATGGCATTATTGTTATTTTATTGGCGAGACAGAGAAACAGAGGGAGAAAGAGCTCCCACCTACCAGCTGACTCCCCAGAAGTGTGAAGTGGCCAGGGTTGGGCCAGGGCCAGGTCTGAAGCCGGGACCTGGGAATACAATCCCAGCCTCCTCCATGGATGGTGGGAACCCAGTTATGTGACCCATCTGTGCGCCTCCCGGGGTCTGCGTTAGCGGGAAGCTGGAGTCAGCAGCCAGAGCTGGGTGTGGAGCCCAGGTGCTCCAGTCTGGGATGTGGGCATCTGAACGACTAGCCTGAACACTACACACCTGCCTTATTATTGTTATTTTTTTAATTGTGGAAATAAAACCTGATTGTATTGAGTGCAAACAGCACATTGTTTAAGACTCCTTCCTGTTCTCCAATTTCATTTTCCCTCAAGAATAGCTGTAGTTGGCCTGTGGGAGTCTCTGCAAGTCTGGTTTTGTTTTAATAAATGTAAACATATCATTATACAGAATTTATATAAGGACTTGTATCAGGACGTGTGTATGTATATGGGTGTATACATACATATATATATGCATATATAAAATTTGTATCAGGGTGTGTTTATAAATTATAGAAAACAGGCTGTTTTGTATTGCTACCCTAATCAGTCTCAGGCCAGTTTTCTAGTGAGTATACTGAGGGTTTTCCTTTTTTCTGAAGATTTAATTTTATTTATCTGAAAGGCAGAGGAAGAGACAGAAGGAGGGATCATCCATATGCTGGTTCACTCCCCAAATGGCTGCAATAGCTGAGGCTGGGCCAGGACAGAGCCTGGGTGGCAGGAGCCCAAGCACTTGGGCCATCTTATGCAGCAAAATTTCTCAGGTACATCTGTTGGGAGCTGGATAGGAAGTGGAGCAGCCCGGGACTTGAACCAGCACTCATATGGGATGCTGGTATTGCAGGCAGTGGCTCAACCTGGCGCACCACAACACCAGCCCCAGCGTTTTCTTTTTTATAGTGGTTATATGGTATAATCCATTTCATCGGTCCCAGTTCTTTGCTGTTTACTGAAATGCTGAAAAAACCATCTTTCCCTTATGTCATTGTCTCTTGGTGTCAGTAGGGAATGAGTTCCAAGACTCCCTCCCCACAACCAGGATACCCAAATCCATGGACGCTGGAGGCACTATGTAACACGGCATGGTATTCACGTATAACCTACGCACACCTTCCTGCATGCTTTAAATCCTCTCCAGGTTACATATAATACCTACCAGGATGCAAGTGCTGTGTAGCATGGTTGTTAACTGGCGTGTTTTAGGGAATAATTATGAAAGAAGCATCTAGACTTCTTCAGGAGGGATGCTTTTTCTCCTCTATATTTCCATCCCAGTGTTGGTTGAAGCCGTGGGTGCAGAATCAGGGGGTACGGTGGGCTGACTGTACCTGTATTTCCACACCCTCATCCCGGCATTTCCATCGGACAGATTCCTCTCCGTGGAGTTTCTAAATCATAGGATGTGTGTGTGTTCAACAGTGAGACATACATAGCAGGAAATTTCATGTCATCTTGAAGAAAATCCACATATTCTTCAGTGTAACCTTAGGAAGAAGCCCCTCCTTCTTCACGGCAGATAATTTGAATTTGGAGGATGTGGCTGTGAAACTTCTAGAGGAAGTTATTATTAAATAATGTATGATTTCCCTGAGATCAGTCAGGATTACTATATTTCGTTATTCAAATTTCCTTCCAAAGGGACCTTACTTCATCTGAACTATTTTATCTCAAGAAACTGTCTAAAATTATTTCTTTTTGTTACCATTTTAATTTTTATTGAGTTGGAACAGGTTACTTCCTTCTAGATGGTGTTGAGAAGGGCCTTGGTTAGAGTCGTGTTGGAGGAACATCGAAGGAAGAATTTGTTTTTAATCACTGCATCTAATAGTTCTCAGTGACTTTGAAATGATTATAATATGTGCCACCTTAACATCTCAACATCTGAAAAAGGCGTGCTACAAAGATGAAAACAGGAACATAACGAACATAATGTATAGCCAACTGTAGACCTTGAATGTAATCCTGCAATAATACTCATTTTCATTGGCTGAGTTTTTCAACCTAAATTGTACCATTTTAAAGTTAACCATCTCCTTCCTTTAGATGAGGGAGCTCTTAATTAACTTCTACTTTTCATAAAAGAAATGTATTTAGTTAATACACTAGAGTTGGTTCCCACTGAGCGGTAACTGCCAGGTGGAGTTTATGGGCGTGAAGTCTGGAACCACAGCCTGGGCTTGTTAATTCGAGCCCTGTGATTCGCCAACTCTGCAAAGGAGACAAATTACTTAAATTTGTGTCCTAGTTTCCTGATCTGTAAGACAAGGATAACAATAATAAGCTCTTTAGGCTTGTGGGGTGGCTAATGAGTTAATGTCAAACGCATAGAACAGTGCCTGGGACATAGCAAGTGTGCAAGGTGCTGCTCCTGTTTTTATTGCTCTAATAATTAATATTGATGGAGTTAACACATATGATCCCTCAGTCAGTGAGGGGCACATTTCATAGAGCTATATATATATATATATATGTATAGACAGGCAGAGTAGACAGTGAGAGAGACAGAGAGAAAGGTCTTCTTTTTGCTGTTGGTTCACCCTCCAATGGCTGCCGCGGCTGGCGCGCTGCGGCCGGCGCACCGCACTGATCCGATGGCAGGAGCCAGGTGCTTTTCCTGGTCTCCCATGGGGTGCAGGTCCCAAGCACTTGGGCCATCCTCCACTGCACTCCCTGGCCACAGCAGAGAGCTGGCCTGGAAGAGGGGCAACCGGGACAGAATCCGGCGCCCCGACCGGGACTAGAACCCGGTGTGCCGGCGCCGCAGGCGGAGGATTAGCCTCTTGAGCCACGGCGCCAGCCGAGCTACATATATTTTTAATGTTAAAACCCTGAAAGCCATTTTTCTTGCTCTGAAATTTCTTCACGAAGCCTGTGATAGTTTTTGCTAACAGCCTATCAGAGTGTGTTCAGATGGTGGCATATGAATGAGTTGTGTCAGTCTGTGATTTTGGATAGAAAATTCACAGGAAAAAAACGCACACTCGCTAAAATCTCAAAGAGATGAGAATAAAAAGTATTAGAATGAAAAACGAAAAACTGTGATGCTATTTCAAGAACTCAGGCATTCACCCAGGCCCAAGATGAAGGTCCATTTTTTCTGATAGGGTTTCTATGAGCTTGTTTAGTAGGATCATTCTTTGTTAACACCATCAGGTGAATTGAGGTGCTTTGTTGCCACTTTGAAGAGCTGCGTTTTATCCTGTGATTGTCCTAACTTATTTTGTTTGCATCCTTAGAGCACTTACGGATACGGTGACTTATTTTCTGAGACATGGAAAGCATTTACTGATTATGAAGTTATACATCTGAAAACTTACGATTCCAAACGGGTACTGGAAATTTTACATTTCAGTCTGTAAACACCTGTCGTGTGCACATGACTCAATCATAACAATTTTTAGTGTAGATATGTTAGCTATTACTGTTAATTTCTGACAGTTTCTGTAGTGACAGCTAGAATACTCATTGTTATTTTTAATTTTTTTAAAAGATTTATTTTATTTATTTGAAAGGCAGCGTAACAGTGAGAGAGGGAGAGACAAAGAGAATCTTCATCTGCTTGTTCAATTCCCACATGGCTGCAACAGCCAAGGCTGGGCCAGGCCCAGGTCAGACACCTAGACTCTCATGTGGGTACAGGGGCCCAAGCACGTGGGCCATCTTCTGCTGCTTTCCCAGGCACATTAGCAGGGAGCTGGATCGGAAGTGGAGCAGCTGGGACTGGAACTGACACTTCTTTATGGAGTGCTGGCAGTGGCTTAATCCACTATGCCACAATGCCTTCCTCATCCTCATCGTTATTAACCATGCATCATTTAAAGATTTCCAAATTTTCAGAAAATACAAATTATATATTTTTGAAGTAGAATTGCTGTTGTAATAGAGGCTAATTAACTATATGTACCACCATGATGAATGCCGTTTTGGTGTGGAAGACACAAATGTCCTTCTCTGATCTTTTCGCATGTCTTTCCGCACAGGTTTGTTTTAAAGAAGCCGTGTTCTCGTTACTGCCCCGCATGAGGTACGGGCTGTTCTACAATACCCCTCTGGTAAGCGTGTGTCGTATTTGTGGGCTTCATGCTTGGTAGATGTGAAGAGAATGTTTGCACAGACCACGAGAGCGCCTGAGTTGCCATGCAGCGGTCCCCACCGTCCTTGGCGCTGGTTTTTCTTCTAGATCTCGGGCTGTCACGGCACTGGATTGTTCAGGGCGTTCTCCCAGCACGTACTGCACAGACTGAACATCGCACAGGAGGGACCCCAGGTAACGGATGCCTTCGGGGTTCTGAGGAGCGCGACTTCTCATCCTGTAAACTAAGTCAGTCCACCTCTGCGAAGAAAACGGTAACCAGGAGACCTTGTTTTCTACGGTGAGGTTTTCCGAACCGCAGTCATTGAAAACAGGTGTCAGCAACCTGTCGAAGTAAACGAAGGGATAGTGCAAGATGGGTTTGCTTTCTGCTTTTCCTTTTCCATTTCTCTAGCCATCTCTTGCCGTCATCTCCCACATCCTATCTAACCCACACAACTACTACCAAAAAATCCACCCTCCCAACCACATAGTCAAAGTGTGTCATGAACAGATGTTGTCTTCCGTGGCCAAAGTGGATACACGTGTTCTTCTGTATTTGTTTTTAAAATAATTTACTTTTTACTAGAGAGGGAAGGGGAACGTGGAAAGAGAGAGAGAGAGTGTTTCAATCCACTGGTTCACTCCCCAAATGCCTGTAATTGCCACTGAAAACTCAGTCTGGATCTCCTACTCAGTTCCCTGAGCCATCACCACGGTCTCTGAGCTCGGTCTGCATTAGCAGGAAGCTGGAGTCGGGAGCCAGAACTGGGGGTCAAACCCAGGTACTCCGGTGTGGGACACTGGAATCCTAACTGGTGTCCTAACTGCTTGGCTGAATGTTTCCCGTCATTTATTTTTATTCCAAATCAACACATAATAATTATACACATTTATGGGATGCAGTGTGATATTTTGATTTATGCATGCAATGTGTAATGATCAAATCAGAGTGATTAGCATGACCATTGTCTTAAACATTTTTTGTTACTTTGTGGTGGGAATATTCATAATTCTTCTAGTACTTTGAAATATATAATACATTAATGTTAATGATGGGGACTCTGCTGTGCCATAGAGCATTAGAAGTTAATCTTCATGAAGCTGGTGTTGTAGCAAAACTGATTAAGCTGCCGCTTACAATGCTGGTTTCCCATATTGGATCACCAGTTTGAATCCCAACTGCTCCACTTCTGATCCAGCTCCCTGGGAAAGCAGCAAAAGGTGACCCAAGTGCTTGAGCGCCTGCTACCCACATAGGAGACCCAGATGGAGTTGCTGGCTCTGGGCTGTGGCCTGGCCCGACTCTGGCTGTTGTAGCCATTTGGGGAATGAACCAGTGAATGGAGGATCTCTCTGTCTCTCCCTCTGTCTGTCATTCTGTCTCCAAAAAATAAAAAAATACATCTTAAAAAAAGGAGGTAATCTTCCTATCCAACTGTGTTTCTGCACTCATTAACCAACCCTTGTCTATCCTCCCTTTGTTGCTGTTCTCCCCAGCCCTTGGTAACCACCATTCCCTCCTCTGCTTGGATGAGATCAACGCTTTTAGCTTTCCTATGAGTTAGAATGTATGACACTTGTTTTCCTGTGCCTGGTTTGTCACGCTTAATGTAATGTCCTCTAGGTCCATCTTGCTCCTGCAGATAACAAGATTTCATTCTTTTTAATGACTGAATAATAGTCCACTGTGAATACATACTACATTTTCTTTTCTTTCTTTCTTTTTTCTTTCTTTCTTTCTTTCTTTTTTTTTTTTTTTTTTTTTGACAGGCAGAGTGGAGAGTGAGAGAGAGACAGAGAGAAAGGTCTTCCTTTGCCGTTGGTTCACCCTCCAATGGCCGCTGTGGCTGGTGTACTGCGGCCGGCGCACTGCACTGATCCGAAGGCAGGAGCCAGGTGCTTCTCCTGGTCTCCCATACGGGTGCAGGGCCCAAACACTTGGGCCATCCTCCACTGCCTTCCCGGGCCACAGCAGAGAGCTGGCCTGGAAGAGGGGCAACCAGGACAGAATCGAGTGCCCCGACCGGGACTAGAACCTGTTTTGCCAGCCCCGCAAGGCGGAGGATTAGCCTATTGAGCTGCAGCGCCGGCCTACATTTTCTTTTCAAGTGGATATATTTTTATTCTTGGAGGGAACAATGCCAGAATCAGGCTAAAAACAATCGGTCCATAAATGTGTCCTCGTTGAGTTCCATCTCTTGGTGAAAGTCAGCTTTTAGGGTCAGATATTCATTCGTCTGTCCAGACAGAGGCAGCCTTATTTTGCATTTTCATTTGGATTACAGGATGGCAAAATCCGAGTCACCATTCTGGCACGGAGCACAGAGTACCGGAAAATACTAAATCAAAATGAGGTAAGTTTTTGGTGTGTATTTTTGACATCATCATGTTGAATTTACCAACCTGTAACTAATGTGCTTTATTTTTTCTCACCACATTAGAAGGTTTGATTTAAGCTATTAGTTTTTAGAGAAGTTTGATGGCCTGTGACTAGTCTGTCTGTTGGATGTGAATTTCTGCTAGAAGTCACTGAACTCCTTCTGGCCTTATTGCAGACAGCTCAGAATGGAGATAGACAGAAATGAGTCTTGCCTTGACTACTGTAGTTTGCTGAACATTCGCCCTCCGGGCACACTTGCTGTGACAGTGCAAGACTGTCTTTTGGGAGAGGATTGATGGCCTGTGGCAGGGCTGTGCTGTCCTGTAGCAGGTTGAGTTGGAGAGGTCTCCATGCTCCCATGTCACTGTGTGTCTTAGAAATTGGCCCCATCTTAGGCATTCCAAGTCATTTCAACAGCACCAACTCACAAGTTATGTTTAACCTCAGGGAGATCACCATACAAAGAAAGCTCCTGCCTGTCACGTCATTGCTCAAAGGGAGCATTGGGCACCTGCTATGTGCCAGGCCATGTTCTTGTCCCCAGAGGTAAAGATTGGGGAGGTCCCTACCCTCATGGAGCCCTAGAAGCGAGAGATGAAGTCAGTCAGCTCGTAGGGTGATTTCACATAGTGATGAGAGCTGTGAAGGAAGCAGCAGATCGATGGAGAGAAAGAGCTGGGGGCATGTGGATCGGGGTGGGAGGCAGTCAGGCCAGTTGTCTGGGTAGATGCTGGTTGAACACAGAGCTAATCAGAGAGGGATCTAGCTGGGGATCAGGCTTCTGGGCAGAGGCGAAAAGCCTCCGGTGGACTGAGCTTTGGGTTTTTAGGAAGTGAGGAGGATGCAAGGATGGCTGTGGCATCTCCAGGGAGGTGAGAGAGATGTCTAAGGAACTCAGGAAGGTGGACATGGTTCAGGATGTGTCATCTCAGCCCCTGGGACCTTGCGGAGGGGTGGATTTTATTCCAGAGTGAGGGGGAAACCACTGTGAGTGTTGGATTTAAAACTTTTTAAAACTTAGTTGAAAAGCAGAGAGACCTACAGCTCTCTCATTTGCTGGTTCACTCCCCAGTTGGCTCACAGCAGCTGGGGTAGGCCAGGCCAAATCTGGGAGTCAGAACCTCCTTCTGGGTCTCCCATTGTGGGTGACAGGGACGTGGGGTGTGTATTATCTGGGAGCTAGAATTGGAGCTGCGCATTGAATCATAGTACATTGATATGATATATGGGATGTGGGTGTGTTAACTGGTGTCTTAACCAGTGGGCCCAACATTGGCTCCTACTGTGGATGTTTAAGCAGGTTGTGGCAGACAGAATATCTCCTTCTCCTTTCTCCTTCTCCTTTCAAACAATGCTTGCGTTCTAATCCCTGGAACCTGTGAACAGGTTAAGTTACGTAGCAAAGGGACATTGACCTTGCAGATGGAATTGAGCTCTCTCAATAGGGAGTCTATCCTGGATTATCCGTGTGGGCTCAAAGTAATCACATATGGGCCTTAAATTCTATCTACCAGAGGACATTGCCTGGAAAGCTCTTAGTTGGATTCTTCTCATTTCATTTTTCCTTAAAAGTCAGAGAGGGAGATTGGAAAACAAGTCAGAGAGGAGACATCAGGGCCAGAGAGATGCAGCGTTGCTAGCCTTGAGGGGCCTTGAGCCACAGAGTGGGGATAGCTTCTTCTTCTTCTTCTTCTTTTTTTTTTTTTGACAGGCAGGGTGGACAGTGAGAGAGAGACAGAGAGAAAGGTCTTCCTTGGTTCTCCCTCCAGTGGCCACTGCAGCCGGCGCACTGTGGCCAGCGCACCGTACTGATCCGAAGCCAGGAGCCAGGTGCTTCTTCTGGTCTCCTATAGGGTGCAGGGCCCAAGGACTTGGGCCATCCTCCACTGCACTCCCGGGCCACAGCAGAGAGCTGGCCTGGAAGAGGGGCAACCGGGACAGAATCAAGCGCCCCGACTGGGACTAGAACCCTGTGTGCCGGCGCTGCAAGGTGGAGGATTAGCCTAGTGAGCCGCGGCGCCAGCCTGGGGATAGCTTCTTGAAGCTGGAAAAGGCATGGAAGTTAGTTCTCTGGGACCTGTGTTGTGGCTCAGTGGGTTAAACCACTGCTTCCCGTGGCCGCATCTCTACTGGAGCACTGGTTCGAGTCCATGCTGCTCCACTTCTGATCCAGCTCCCTGCTTGAAGCCCTCTGGAGAGCCGCAGAAGATGGCCCAAGTAGTTTGACCCCTGCCACCCACAAGGGAGATCAGGATGGAGTTCCAGGCCCCTGACTTTGGCCTGGTCCAGCCCTGGCCATTGTAGTTATCTGGGGAGTGAACCAGTAGATGGAAGATGGTGTGCATGTGTGTGTGTGTCCCTCTTCCACTACCCCCTCCCTCACTCCTGATCACTTTTCCTTTCAAATAAACACATAAATCTTAAAGAAAAAAGAAGAAAAGGAAATCTGTTCTCCCTGAGAGCTTCCAGAAGGAACATAGCCCCCACCACTTCAACTTTAGCCCAATAAGACCTGGACTGGACTTCAGTCCTACAGAATTGTATGGGGACTAAATTGTGATCATTTAAGCTACCATGTTTGTGACAATTTTTTTTTTTTTGCAGCAATTAGTAAATGAATACACAAGGAGAGACATGAATTGACTTACGCATTTCTAAGTCACTTTGGCTGTAAGAGTAAGAAGAAGGGGTTGGGTAGGAGCTGTTCCTGTGGCCCAGGAAAGAGTGTGGATGAAGGTGGTGACAGTAGAGATGACACAGTAGGTAGAATCAGGATATATTTTGGCAATAGGACCTAGGATACTTTTGGAATGTACAGTACAGCAGTCGGTAAGGCCAGGAAAGATCCTGATAACCCAGGGTGATTCCTAGGCTTTTAGCTTGAGCCATTAAGTGGAACTAAAATGGAAAAAAAAAAAGAGTAAAAGGGAAGGTGGGGGCAAGTTTTGATGGGTAAAGTATTTGCACAGGTTATTTTGGATGCCTGATAGACTGGTCACATTGTGTAATTGGCATCTCTTCCCAAGATCCCTCTGAGCCACAGAGGACATGACCACATGGCAGGAGGTGGCACTGGTTGGAGGCTGTGTGGGTGGAATAGATGAGCAGTGTGTATGTTCTGGAGACCAAAAATAAAACTTGGGTTGTCTCTCAGTGTCCACGGGTGATTGCTTCCAGGACTCCCCATGGAGACTACAACCCTTGGGTGTTCATGGCCCTTGTATCGGCCATGTAGACTACAACCCTTGGGTGCTCATGGCCCTTGTATCAGGTGCTGTAGTATTTGCCTATTACCTGCACATTTCCTCCCCTTTATTTCAAGTCATCTCTGAATTACTTAAAATACCTAATACAGTGTAAATGCTTTATAAACAGTTGTTTATTATATTAATGTTAGGAACACAAATTCTGTACATATTCAATATAGATGCAATTTTTTTTTTCTATTTCCAATCTGCACTTGGATGCATCTGTGAGTGTGGATAAGGAGGACTGACTGTGTATCAGCGCATTGCAGGATTAGATGGATGGAAGTGCCACCAGCCAACAGATCAGTGGTCTATATTGGTATAGGCTATACATGTTGAGTGCTAATTATCTGCCAAGCATATTACTCTGTACTCACCAAGAATTATGTCCCCCAACACTCCCAGAACTCATGATGCTGGTACTTTATTGATATCCTGTGTTGCAGACAAGGTCACCAAGGCTTACTGGTTGAAACACCTGTCCACGGCCACCCAGTAGTGAGCAGAGAGGCCCTGGGGGTGAGAGCCAGGGTGTCTAGGGGTGAGGCTGCTTTCTTCCACAGAGGAGGTTGAATCCACCTGTATCCGCATCCATCAGGAGGGTGCAGGCTAAGGATCAGCACCAAGCTGCTGGACAGGGCCCAGGAGAAGGGTGGAGGACTGATGTGTGCCATACATGCCAGGCAGGACAAGTTCAGATGCAATCACACACAGGCTTCCCGCGTGGCCTTGTCCAGAGGTGAGAGGGGGTGAGTCAGCAGACACCAAGCCAGACACCCCAGAATGGACTGCTTTTCTCCCTGGGATTGACATCACCTTATAACCCAGCTACAGGGCGAGGAGGAGCACACCTTCAACCATAGATTGATTACTGAGTAGATCATAAAACTCAGATGCTCTCATTAAATGATGGTTTACGGAATCCCGCCCAACCTTAGCTTTTGAACTGTTGTGTTTGAGGCCACTTCTTTGGTGTGACTAGAAATTGTGAAAAAGAGCACACTGGCCGTGGGCCTCTCAATTCCTTTTATGTGGGCATTTCTCATTAAAAGAACAAGGCTTATGCCATCTGATTGATTCTCTTCTAGAAAATTGATTTCTTTTTGCCTGTCCTCATTCCTTGAACTCTTTGATATAAACTGTATGTTTGTGGGAGTCCAGGGCTATCTAGAGAGAGAAATTTCACTTTACTGTTACGTGTGTGTATGTGTGGGGGTGCGGGTGGGTGGATGTGGAAGGGGGCTGGGATTACGAACCGTTGCTCTCTATAAGCAGGAGAGTAGAGTGCACTGGTTAAGAACACACAGGTTCATATATATGGCTGGTGCCGCGGCTCAATAGGCTAATCCTCCACCTGTGGCGCCGGCACCCTGGGTTCTAGTTCCGGTCGGGGCGCCGAATTCTGTCCCGGTTGCTCCTCTTCCTGTCCAGCTCCCTGCTGTGGCCTGGGAGTGCAGTGGAGGATGGCCCAGGTCCTTGGGCCCTGCACCGGCATGGGAGACCAGAAGGAAGCACCTGGCTCCTGGCTTCGGATCAGCATGGCGTGCCAGCCGTAGTGGCCACTTTGGGGGTGACCCAATGGAAAAAGGAAGACCTTTCTCTCTCTCTCTCTCTCTCTCACTGTCTAACTCTGCCTGTGGAAAAAAAAAAAAGTAAAAAAAAAAAAAAAAAAGTACACAGGTTCTCAGTGGAAAGACCCAGATTTGATTTTGGCTCTGTATTGCGGGCTAGAAGTTACTTAACGTCTCTAAGTCTCTGTTGACTCATTTATAAGATGGGCATACTAATAATACCTACTTGGCATGATTTTTCATGAGGATCAGGTGATATCGTGCACAACCAGTGACACTTGTAACCATGGCTACTGCTATTGTGGTACAGTATATGCAGAAGCCTCCTGCCCGATACAAGTGCAAACATTTCCGAATGGTGGTAATCCAGTGTGGGGTTCTGATGGCCTAATCATGACGGGCAGAGAGAACCATGAGTGTGTTTTTGGTAATAGAGGAATCATGCTTTGTTTGCTAGAAGAATACCTGTTTTTCTATGTAGACGTACCAACAATGTTTTTCAGATAGTGAGGTCCAAACTGCTCATGGTTTATCCGAAATGAGGTAATGCACAGGAAGAAGGCCCCTGACGTAATCTCTGGAGCATAGTAGGTATTCAGTAAACACAAGTTGAAAGCTGGAGGAATAGCACCCGTGGACACTTAGTGAGTCTCTGACCTGAGCACTTTTCCTCTCCTTTGTAACAAGTCAGGGTGTTGGTGTTTCAGGAAAGTAAAGTCCTATGTTTAAGGGATAGAGGCTGTATTTTAATTCAATTAGGGTTGAAACCAGTAGACCTAAAGAATAATACCTGAAAAATATTATATGCAAAAAAGAAGAAATTTTAGAACCCAGAGAGAAGGAAAAGCAATTCTAAATGTTTCTCTCTCTTTTTTTCCTAGCTTGTAAATGCACTGAAAACAGTATCTACATTTGACGTCCAGATTGTTGATTACAAGTACAAGTGAGTCAGAGACAGCCTTTTGGGCAGATGCTGTTGTTTTTGCTTGGATGAATGAATAAGAGGTGGACAGCATTTTTAAAAAAGATTTTATTTATTTGATTTTTAAAAATTTATTTATTTATTTGAAAGGCAGAGTTTCAGAGAGGCAGAGGTAGAGAGAGAGAGAGAGAGGTCTTCTATCCGCTGGTTCACTCCACAGGTGGCCATAATGGCCGGAGCTGCTCTGATCCAAAGCCAGGAGCCAGGAGCTTCCTGGTCTCCCACGCGGGTGCAGTGGCCCAAGGACTTGGGCCATCTTCTACTGCTTTCCCAGGCCATTAGCAGAGAGCTGGATCAGAAGTGGAGCAGTTGGGACCTGGAACCGGTGCCCATGTGGGATGTCAGCACTGCAGGCGGTGGCTTTACCCACTACACCACAGCGCCAGCCTCTTTTTATTATCTTAAGGAAACAATTTCACTTTGTGCCAGAATGTCATCAACATGTCTTCTACACTTGCTAATTCCTCCTCTCTTGAAGAGAGGGCAGGCCTTGGGCTCAGGGCCATCTCCTGCAATGGTATCTACCTGGTTCTCAAGGATACTTTTTAGGTAGATTGTAAATACTTCTGCAGTTTTATTGATGTTATGTGTTACTGGTTTCCCTTTAAGAAATCTATAAAAGTTTCCTTTTATAAATAAGCATACTGAAATCTAAATAGATAAATGAGTGTACTTAGAAACATGTTAAGTTATGAAGATGTCATTAATTACTACAGTGCCCATGAAATGGGCAGAGTGTAGAGGGGAAGGTGATGTGATGGGAAAATGCGCCTGCGTGTTGAATGTCTTGCAAATGCTGACCCAGCCCCTCCATGCTCCTCTCCTCATCTCTTGTCTTGTTCTGTTCATTCACAGAGAACTTGGGTTTCTGGATCAACTCAGGATCACTCACAACACGGACATATTTATTGGAATGCACGGAGCCGGCCTCACCCATTTGCTCTTCCTTCCAGACTGGGCTGCAGTGTTTGAACTGTGAGTGTTTGCGGCAGTTTGACAGCCAAGCGCCCGGGCAGCTATGCCTTGGGCTTGCTGGGACTTCCACTGTGAGCATCCAAAGGCTGGAATTATTACAGAGAAGCCGCATGCTATAGGCACATGGAAAGAAAAACAGACCAAAAGCTCTAGAAGTGTAGTTTGTAGCCAGCCATTGCACTTGTTAGTAAGCAAATTATTGCTGCCGTGCCCCACCTGGCATGGTAGGGAGATGTGAGAATGGGGTCTCCTTCCCTCTTGCCTCGCACACTGCCTGGGGGAAGCTCTAGGTCTTAAGCTCAGCACACCCCCAAAACACAAGCCAGGACTTCCCAGGGAGCCTCAGGCCCTCGGGTAACTGATCTGCTCATGGTTAGTTACAGAGACAGAGTCTTCCCGCCCCAGTAATTCTGCTCATGACCCCGTGCTCCGTCTTCAGTTTTTGACATTACTGGTGTGATTGTCTGTTAGCTCAATGTCCCTTTTTGAGTCTAGTAGCCTGAGGTTGTGGTTTTGTTTGAAAAAGGACTTGACTCAGTATTTAGAGTATTTGGGAAAAGAATTGTCATGGACATCCAGTGCTCTCACAAGCATTTTTTCCCAAGTTTTATTTATATATTTATTTATTTGAAAGGCACCATAATGAGAGAGATCTTCCAACTACTGATTCATTTCCCCAATGCCTGCGACAGCTGGGGCTGGGCCAGGTTGAAGCCAGGGACTTCATCCAGGTTTCCCACATGGGTGGCAGGGACTCAGGTACTTGAGTCACCATCTGTTGCCTCCCAGGGTGTCGATTAGCAGGAAGCTGGATCGGAATTGGAAGCAGAACTCAAATGCAGGTACTCTGATACGGGATCTGGGTATTCCAGGGGGCAGCTTAACTGCTGTGCCACAGTGCCTGCCCCTCTCCATAACACTTTGAAATATATGCATAGACGAGAAATTGCTGGATGAATGTTGACTCTAACTCACTTCAGAGAGGGAGAAGGAAAGGCAGAAGATAGCAGGAGAGAGAGCACGAGAAATGTAACTGGGAAAGCTCAGGCCTTGGCATGCCCTAGACCTGGTTTCAGTTTGTCCTTCACGGACTGGCTTTATGACCTTGGAAGTGACTTCTAGTCCACTTCCATACTTGTAGAGACAGGAGTATTATGTGATAATGTCAAGTTCATAGGCAGTAGACACTATTGAATATGAGTAGTTTCCTCTGATCCTCAACCCTGTTATTTATTTATTTATTTTTCTATTCTGTTCTTTAAAAGTTAAGTTAGGAGGCCTGCACAGTGGCACAGCGGGTTGAGCCACTCTCTGCAGTGCCAGCATCCCATGTGGGTGCCAATTCAAATCTCAGCTGCTCCACTTCTGATCCAGCTCCCTGCTGGTGCACCTGGGAAAGCAGCAGAGGATGGCCCAAGTGCTTGGGCTCCTGCACCCCTTGGGAGACCATGCTTTGGTCTGGCTTAGCCCTGCCCATTGCAGTCATTTGGGGAGTGAACCAGTGGTTGGAAGATCTCTCTCTCTCTCTCTTTCTCTGTAACATTGCTTTTCAAATAAATAAATAAGAATCTTTAATAAAAATTTTAAAATGCTGGTTAAGTTAGGGGTATGCATTGTAGCACAGCAGTTCAGCTGCCACTTGTGAAACCTGCTCTGCTTATTGGAGGACCTGGGTTTGAGTCTCGGTTCTACTTCCACTTCAGCTTTCTGCTTCCTCCTGGGAGGCCACTGTTGATGGTTCAAGTGTTTAAGTCCCTGCTACCATGTGGGAGACTTACGTGGAGTTTCAGGCTCCTGGCTTCCACCTGGCGCAGCCCTGGCTACTGCAGGCATGTGGGGACTGAGCCTGCAGGTGGAAGATTGAGTTCTCTCTGTCCTTCAAAAAAAAGGGAACAAAAAAGTTAGGGTAATTTAGTTCGTGGGATTGTTTTTTTTTTTTTTTCTTCTTTTTTCGACAGGCAGAGTGGACAGTGAGAGAGAGAGACAGAGAGAGAAAGGTCTTCCTTTGCCGCTGGTTCACCCTCCAATGGCCGCCGCTGCAGCCGGCGCACCACGCTGATCCTGGCAGGAGCCAGGAGCCAGGTGCTTTTCCTGGTCTCCCATGGGGTGCAGGGCCCAAGCACCTGGGCCATCCTCCACTGCACTCCCTGGCCATAGCAGAGAGCTGGCCTGGAAGAGGGGCAACCGGGACAGAATCCGGCGCCCCAACCGGGACTAGAACCCGGTGTGCCGGCGCCGCAAGGTGGAGGATTAGCCTATTGAGCCACGGCGCCGGCTAAGGGTAATTTAGTTCTGAAACTATTTTTGAAATGATTATGCTCCGTCTTATTTATTGTTCATAAAACTTGTTCAAGAACATTTAAGGAGACACATTTATTTACTCCTCAAGAATTTTTTTTAAATTTTTTTTAAAGATTTATTTATTTATTTGAAAGGTAGAATTACAGAGAGAGAGAAGGAGAGGCAGAGAGAGAGAGAGAGAGAGGTCTTCCATCTGCTGGTTCACTCCCCAATTGGCCGCAATGGCCGGAGCTGCGCTGATCCGAAGCCAGGAGCCAGGAGCTTCTTCCAAGTCTCCCATGCAGGTGCAGGAGCCCAAGGACTTGGGCCATCTTCTACTGCTTTCTCAGGCCATAGCAGAGAGCTGGGTCGGAAATGGAGCAGCTAGGACTCGAACTGGCACCCGTATGGGATGCTGGCACTGCAAGCGACGGCTTAAGCCGATAGGCCACAGCACCGGCCCCTCCAAGAATTGTTGATCAGACAGGAACCCTGGACAACAGCCTCACGTGGTGCCTCCCTCACGTGCTTAGGTACAACTGCGAGGATGAACGCTGTTACTTAGACTTGGCCAGGCTGCGAGGGGTCCACTACATCACTTGGCGAAGGCAGAACAAAGTCTTCCCTCAAGATAAGGTAAAGTTCAAACCCTGTGCTCTCTGTTTCATTCCCGGCGGGGAGGGGGTGCCTTTTTTCTTTCTAAGGGCCGTTTGCTCTTTATAATATCATTCACGGGCTACAGGAAATCAACTTAAAAATAAGCCTGCTGAAGACTTAGTGAATTTTGAGTCTTGCCTGTGGCTGCCTTGGCAGGGCCAGACCACATGATTTTGAGGGCCTTATATGGCCCTCAGGCCAAATGTTCGCCAGCCGTGGTAGGGGGGTCTACTTATTAATATGAAAAGATGGTCATTGAACTTATATCCCCAGATGCACTGTCCTTCTCCAGAATAGTGTATTTTAGATCTGCAAATTGCAGAAAAAGGAAAGCCAATCTCTTAGTTCTTTGCTATTGGTAAGACAGCTTCATGAAATTTGGGCATGGAAAGATCTATTGGATGATATGTAGCAGGAATCAGCACACTACAGCCCTGTGTGGCCAACCGGGCTTCCCACCACCTGTTTTGGTAAATAAAGTTTTAGCAGGAACCATCATGCTTCCTGGTTTGCGTGTTGTCAGTGACTGCCTATGCCTTTCCAGGCCGAGTTGAGCAACCGTGCCCCTGAGCCTGTGCCGGGAGCAGAGCTGGAAACGAGTTTTGTCTGGGCCTTTAAAGAAAAAGTGTGCTGAGCTCTGGGGTCGAGTACGTGCAAATAGTTGCCTGAGTGAAAGTGAGACCGTGTTCTCCCTGAGGGAGGAGCAAGGCTCAGCGGGCGGGGGCCTGTGTTCCGGTTTGCCTTGCAGGGCCACCATCCCACTCTCGGGGAGCACCCAAAGTTCACCAACTATTCTTTCGACGTGGAGGAGTTTATGTACCTGGTCCTTCAGGCTGCAGACCACATATTGCAGCACCCCAAGTGGCCGTTCAAGAAGAAACGGGACGAGCTGTGAATGCGTTGCGTCTGTTTGCCCAACACGGAGTATTTAAGCACTCAGCACCCAGACTCACGATGAAATAGGTGAAACAACCCGTTATTCCCTAGCCCTCAATGACCTTGTCTATACCAAAACATCCTGCAAGGTGTTATTACGCGTTTTAGAGTCTTTAATTAAGCGTTTTATATACCTTTTGTGTCATTGCTGTGTGCCAGTAGCAATCGTACTTTTGCACTGAAAGTTTTCTTCTGTAATTCAAAAGTTGGGGGTGCACCCCCTGCTGTGATGGCGCTTTCTTCTTAGGGATGCCAAAGTTTTCAGCTTAAAAGTTTTAAAGGTTTTTGCAAAAATCTCATTGATTGTAACTCCAGAGCGTTCCAGCTTGCTTCTGATACAGTTGGGTAAATTCACCACTGCTCTTTGAGTTACTATGATCTGTTCCAAGCACTATTTGTGGTAGAAAAAGAAAACACGGACAACACGCATGCAAGCACGCACAGTACTGGGCTAGAGCACTGTGTTACAGACGAGTGTTAGTTCCAGGTTATTGGCTTCAAGAAACTAATCAGGCCGCTGTAGTCATTAGTTATTCTCATATTTCATGTTCAAATCATGGTTCTCCAAACTCTGACAACCACGTCTGATAAAAGCGAATTTAGGACTTCTGTGGGATTGTTGTGTGTCTCTTCCAGCTGGTTTCCATGGACGCCTTCCAGCTATGGAGAGCATCATGCTATGTTTCTGTATGAAATAGTGGTTTCCACTGTGCAAGGATTTGTACCCCATGTACCTGTGTGTGTGTGCGTCTACCTCTGCGGGCATGTAAGCATGTCAGCCTTTGATTTTACGACTTCACAGTAGTTACATGTGGAGAACTTTTCCCTATTAAAAAAAATTAGACCAAAAAATAAAATAAAGGAACACAGGAATTATCTCATCCAGATGAAAAGCCAGAAGAAAATGCCAGTGATGAAAATGGATAGCTGAGTTGTTGGGAATGGGATTTGCCATGGATTTATTTTACTGCAAAATGTGAAGCTGGCATTGTATGAACACTTGAGTAGTCTAATTTAGAGATGAGATGCTTCTGTTTTTTAAGGTAGGGAGGAGGTGAGCGAATTACAGTGGAGCCCAAGGATTCCCCCTGCCCCCAATTTTAGAGTGGTTTTTAAAACAGGAAAATGCAGCACATAAGTGAGTTGCAAAACAAGATGTTTCTATCTGACCTGGACAGATGTTTGCTGAGCCCTGCTTTAAAAGATTATGAACAATAGTCGTGTAGAGTTTAGGAATATTTATTAAAATATCTGTAAAGAAAATGGTGAATCACTGTAGCAATAACTTTGGTCTGGATCTTAAAATTGTGCACAAAGAATTATGACCTTCGAGGGTACCTCGAGAATCCTCTGAAAAATACAATTAAAAGAGAAGGTTTTTTTTTTTTTTTAAATTTGGTGCAATTTTGAAGTTCATGCATAGTTTTTTCACATTTTGCCTTTTTCATGAACTTTTTGAAGACTCCTTGTGTGCGTGGATTTCAAAATTTTTTTTGCATCAAAATAGACTTACCTTTTAATTCTATTTCCCATGAACTTTTTTAGAAGTACCCTCATATGATGAATTTTTAAATGACAGGTCTTGATACTGTTCTTTGAGCAACTACTGAAAAAATATTTCCCATGAAAGGAATTGTAACAACTCGATTGCATTTTGATTCCGTGAGGTATAAATATCTGGAAAAGTTATCTGGAACAAAATCAAAGTGTCAACATTTGTCTTCTTACCTCATTTGAAGAAGCAGCACGTGGAAACGTGATTCTATAGACTAGTGTTAATTGTGTTAATTTCAGAAATTGAGAACAATTTCATAGGAAAGCAATTATATTTAAATATTTTGCATTTAAAGATTACATTTTATAAAAACAAGAAAAACATTTGACATGTGAACTATGAAGTTAAATTTTTACTAGACTTTTTTGTGGAACAAAAGATCTTCAAATTGTAAGAAAATTTAACATGTAAAGACTGTTTTTACATTAAGTTTTTAAGAGAAATGCATTTCATTGTACATTTTGGGTATGGCTTTGGAATAAACCTTACATTTTATTTGAATATCAGAACCAAGGTTTTCTGTGTCTGAATAATACATGTTTGCCTTTTTGTAGCAGTCTGGTAGCTGTTATAAAAATTCAGTAGTTCACTGATGAAGAATTTGGTTTAAGCAAAAATTTTACCTTCTATTTACTTAGCAGTTTCTTACCCAGTGCTTTCACAAAAGTCACCGTGCATCATCCTTACCAAAATGATGTGAGATTATAGTTAGTGTTTTTCATGTGAAAAACTGTCCTGAAGACCGCAGGTCTTCCCTTGTCATTCATTCATTCATTCGCTCATCCAGTGAATGCTGATTGAGCCATGACTGTACCAGTTAACGTTTAACTTCCGGGATCCAGCAATGAGCAGAACAGAAAAAAATCATTGTCCTCACGGAGCTTACGTTCTTGGAGGAGACAGACGGTAAACAGCATCAATCAGTACTGTACATAGTGTGCCAGCTCCTGCACATACGCTACAGAGAAAGCCAAAACCAGAGCAGACAGAGGGTCTGGGGTCTGGGGAAGAGGTGTGTTCCTGTACACTCAAGTAGCAGTCAGGGAAGTCCTCATGGAGGAGGTGCCATTTGAGGCAAGACTGGAAGGAGGTGAAGTGGTGTGTTGGGGGGGGGGGCAGGGGGCACTATGAGTATAACTGGACAAAGAGCATTCCTCAAAGAACAGCATGTGTAAAGGTCCTGAGTGTGTTTGAGAACCAGCAGGGAAGCCAGTGCAGCTGTGTGAGCAAGGGGCCGGAGGTGAGTTCAAAGCGATAATGGGGCTGAGGTCCACATGCTCTTGTCTTTGGATTCTGATGAGCTGGAGCCATAGAAGGGATCGGAACAAAGACTTGCCTTTGAACAGGGTAACTGCTGGGAATAGACTGTGGAGCCACAGCTGACTTGGGCTATCCTCTAGAAAACAGACTCTGGGTTGGAGAATTGCCAGCAGGTGGGCTCCCGGGGAAGGCCCAGGACTGGGTACCCAAGAAATGCAGCCGCAGTGTAGCAGCAGGTGCCTCCTCCCCGGGGCATGGGAGCACTGGGGGTGGACTTTCAGGGAAGCCCCCAGTGAGGCAAGTGTCCGTGAGCCACCCGAAGGAGGCCACCGGAGAGGCACGAGATGGCGGCAGGCCCCCCAGGCTGCAGGGCAGGGCGGACCGGAGTTCAGGGGCCGGCCATCAGCAGCTCCCGTTGGCTGGGCCGTGCGAGGCAGCACCCACAAGGGGGCGCCCTTCCTCCTGTCGACCGGAAGTTAGATGCAAAGACTTTAAGTTGATTTTTTTTGTTTTTCAGGATGCCCTTCCCTGTGTAGAAGGCTGGGGGAGGGGCAGCAGCCTAACATTTTGGGCTCTGAGGCCGTGCCAGGTCTCTACTGCGTAGTATTAGTTGTTTACTTTCTCCACAGTCCTTGAGAAATGTGAACTATCATTGTTTTACGTATTTAAACAGCAGAGCGGTTCAAGGAACAGAGCCAGTAAATGGCAGGTGGGTTGCATGTAGGACTTTTTTTTCTTCTTCAAGATGTGTTTGTTTATTTGAGAGGTAGAGTTACAGAGACACAGAGAGAGGTTTTCCATCATTCCCCAGATAGCTGCAATAGCTGGAGCTGCGCTGATCCGAAGCCAGGAGCCAGGAGCTTCCTCCAGGTCTCCCATGCAGGTGCAGGGCCCAAGGACTTGGGCCATCCTCCACTGCCTTCCCAGGCCACAGCAGAGAGCTGGATTGGAAGTGGAGCAGCCGGGACTACAACCGGTGCCCATATGGGATGCCCGCGCTGCAGATGGAGACATATAGCCCACTACGCCACGGCACCGGCCTTGGACTTTTTTCCTTTTTCTTGCAAAGGGATTCATATTAGGGTATTTACAGGACATAAAGGAGAGGCGGGGGAGAGAAAGGCCTGGAACTGGGCCTGTTCGCACAGTGACAAGTGGTTTTCTTGAAACATGGTCAGCCGAGAGAAGCCGTGGAAGACACTTGCTCTTTCTGAACTAGGGACGCAGAAGCACCTCCACTCAGGTACTTTTGCCCCATAGGCACAAGTGTTTAGCCCACCTGTCACCAAGGGTATATAACACATTACGTTTCCTTCCTGGCGCGTGTGAGCCCTGGCCCTGGGTGATAGTGCACAGCTGACCACAAGGTGGCAGTCCAGCTCTTCCAAACGGCCTCTGTGGGGCTTGCAAGAATCTCATTGTCAATTCCAGACACCCGAATGCCAGAAGTCAGGCCTTGTGATGGAGTTTTTCACTCCTGATTTGAGGCAATGAGGGAACATTGGCACGGGCAGTTTTCAGGTGAAGGGTGTAATTCCCTAGCAGCAGCCAGTATCCCAGCCCCACCTGACCATCATGTGGTGAAAGCCCTGGGCCCCGAAACGTTTAGGGGGACCAATTCACATTGACTTTGTGGGGGGTTTTGGTTCATACTTGAACTCTGTTTAGGATCTCAGCACATGAGCTCTTCAGTTCCCCTTAGGGGTTAATTTTTTTTTTTTTTTTTTTAAAGATTCATCTTATTTATTTGAAAGGCAGAGTTACAGACAAAAAGAGGAGAGACAGGGAGAGGTGTCTTCCATCTGCTGGTTCACTCCCCAAATGGCCACAATGGCTGGAGCTGAGTTGATTCAAAGCCGGGAGCTTCTTCCGGGTCTCCCACATGGCTGTAGGGGCCCAAGCACTTGGGCCATCTTCTACTGCTTTCCCAAGTGCTTTAGTGGGGAACTGGATTGGAAATGGAGCAGCCAGGATTCGAACAGGCACCCATATGGGATGCTGGCATTTCAGGTGGTGGCTTAACCTGCTATGCCACAATGCCAGCCCCAGGAGTTGCTTACGTTGGCCTTGTAAAGTTATAACATACACAACTGCTATTACCATTTGGTTTGAGGGGAACCAGACTGAGCAGGGGACTTCCTGGAAGGCTAGAAGCCTAAGAATCGCAAAGCGTTAACTAAGGGGTGCAGATTTGCATTAATACAGGAGGGTTGACATTGAGTTAGTCCAGGTCCCAGAGTGCTGTGTATCACTTACTCTTCACAACCTTGAGTCGGGGACTTTGGGGACTCTTCGCTGAAAGGGACATTGGAGGCACTTCATGGCATGCATTCACCCTGCTGTAGTGTATTGAGTGCCACCCACAGCAGATACTGTCTCAGAGAGAGGAGAGCTCCCGGGAGAAGCGGTGTTGTGTAGCCCAAAGAATGTGGGTTGAGATGTCAGAAGGCCCCCAGTTCTCAGCCTTGCAGCACCCGTGCTGTGTAGCCAGGGCCTTGATGCTAAGCCCCAAGGGGCTTTGCTTTTGTGACTTGTAGATTGGTGGTCATGTATACTGGGTGGAGTTGATTAAGAATAAGATAAAAGGAAACCGCCATGGATTAGTGCTGGGTATATAGTGTGTATTATGTAAATCCTGTTATCCTGTGACAAGCAGAATTACTATTACTCATTTTTAAAGATTTATTTATTTGAAAGAGAGGCAGAGAGAGACAGAGAGAGAGAGGTGTCTTCCATCTGCTGGTTCAACTCTCCTAATGGCCTCAAAGGCCAGATCTGGGTCAATCCAAAGCCAGGAGCCAGGAACTTCCTTGAGGTCTCCCACATAGGTACAGGGGCCTAAAGACTTGGGCCATCTTCCACTGCTTTCCCAGGCAATCAGCAGAGAGCTGGATCGGAAGTGGAGCAGCTGGAATATGAACCAGTGCCCATATGGGATGCCGGCACAACAGGTGACAGCTTTACCCACTATGCCACAGCGCTGGCCCCAGAATTCTTATTAGTTAAAGGTCTAGTTTCTGGAAAGCATTTTTTTTTTTTTTTTGGACAGGCAGAGTGGGCAGTGAGAGAGAGAGAGAGAGAGAAAGGACTTCCTTTTCTGTTGGTTCACCCCGCAATGGCCGCTGCAGCCAGCACAGCGTTCTAATCTGAAGCCAGGAGCTAGGTGCCTCTCCTGGTCTCCCATGTGGGTGCAGGGCCCAAGCACTTGGGTCCTCCACTGCCCTCCCAGGCCACAGCAGACAGCTGGACTGGAAGAGGAGCAACTGGGACAGAATCCGGCACCCCGACCGGGACTAGAACCCAGTGTGCTGGCGCCGCAGACTGAGGATTAGCCTATTGAGCCATGGCGCCGGCCTCTGGAAAGCATTTAACTTCTGATGCCTGGACCTCTGTCCACACCAAGTAAATCAGACTCTCTCGGGGTTGTGGCTGTCATGTCCAAGTTCCTGGTTGGTCAGGGGTGCTTGTGGACTTCCTGTGATTGGTCAGCAAAGAAAATGGTTATGATGGCCAAGTGGGCTTCAGTCTGTCTGGAGGTTCCATGCAGGTGGCAGTTACTTTCTGCCCTGGATCTGGAATTCCCTGCAACAAAACTCCTCCAGACAATGGTGGCCATCAAGTATGTCTCCTGGAGAAGCAAGTGAGGGCTTGATTGGAATCTTGTCAGGCCGGCTGAACCACTGAACCCAGTGAGTTGTTTTAGAGCTATGGAAAGGCAGGGCTAGGGCACTTTAAGCCAAGGGTGGGAGGCTAGGAGAGTGGGGTCTGTCTTCCAGGCACTGTTTAGGGGCCCTGTGGCTTAGGGGCCATATCCAAAATCACATGACCATGGAATCTTTCTCAAGAGGTGTGAAGACTGATGCTGCGAGAACCTCCCTCTAGGCAGGCTGCCCGTAAACAGTTGCCAAGGCCACAAACCCCTTCTGGGGAGACAGACACCAGGCAGGGCCTTCAGTTGTGCTGATGGTTGCACCTCCGTTGGTTGGGTTAAATCAGCTGTGCTACCTGGTCACAACTGATTGGACCAGGCATTAAGAGCTGACTCAGGGGCTGGTGCCATGGTGCAGTAAGTTAATCCTCCATCTGCGGCACCGACATCCCACATGGGTGCCGGTTCTAGTCCTGGCTGCTCCTCTTCCAGTCCAGCTCTCTGTTGTGGCCTGGGAAAGCAGTGGAGGATGGCCCAAGTCCTTGGGCCCCTGTACCCGCATGGGAGATCTGGAGGAAGCACCTGGCTTTGGATTGGCGC